TCTTATAACAAAAATATGTAGCGTGGTCCTAAGATCAGTTTCTGTACCTGCGTGGTGGAAAGTGGTCAATGTAACACTGATTTTTTTTAAGGGCTCCAGGCGGAATCTGGGAGATTACAGGCTGCTCAGCTTAACATTTTCCCCCAGGAAAACTGGAGAGACCCCTATCTAAAATCCTTGAGGGCTGCTGCCAGCCAGTGTAGATAAAATTGAGTTAGATGATGGGTTTGATTCCAGTTACGGCAGCTTTTGTGTTCCATAAGGCAGAGGAAAGCAATTGTCACTGGAGGACAGGCAAGTTGTCAGTTAATTTGGGTTTCTGAAGTAGAAAACATGTTGAAAACCATGTGTGTTTGCTACTCTGGGTACGAAAATATCTTGGTGGGTTGGACCTGCTCCTATCATGGGGGTGAAGCCAGCTGACAAAAAGCTAAGCCTATTGTTAGATTGCTAACTACACTTTTTAGGGTGGGTCAAACACCAGATTGCCTTAAATCTGTTCATGCACACCCACCACTATCACAACAACTCACTGCTGCTTCTCCAGTCAGTTCCTCCCTCTCTCATTTCTGACAACCTCCAAATGGGTGGGTGGGTCTTTCTTTGCTTCTGCAGTCTTGGAATATCCAATTCCTAGCCTAAAGCACAGGCAGAGTCCAGAGGTGCACCTCCATTCTGGAAAAACGTGATGGCTGTTAAAGCCAGGGCTTTTTCCCCTCAGGCGGAACTCAGTTCCAGCCCCTCTCAGGTGGGCGCCATTGCCATCCTAAGAGAACATGGGAGGTTTTCACGGTAAGTTCCGGCACTTATTTTCCTAGAAAAATAGTACTGGTTAAAGCCTTTATCCCATCCAAAGTCTTTTGAAATTGAATACTTGACTGTGTTAAAGTAAATAGAGACAAATTGAGGAAAGAGTAAGAACCCAATTTGAATCCCTTTGATGGACACTGCTAGGAAATTCTTTGCTGTCACTACCAGGATATAGACACATCCTCGCATGTAAAAGGTAAAGGTTAAATCCAGTCAAAGGAGACTAGAGGGTTGCGGCGCTCATCTTGCTTTCAGGCTGCAGGAGCCAGCGTTTGTCCACAGACAGCTTTCCAGGTCATGTGGCCAGCATGACTAAACCGCTTCTGGCGCAACCGTGATACAAACCAGAGCGCACGGAAATACCGTTTGCCTTCCCGCCACAGCAGTACCTATTTATCTACTTGCACTGGCGTGCTTTCAAACTGTCAGGTTGGCAGAAGCTGGGACAGAGCAACGGGAGCTCACTCTGTCATGGGGATTTGAACCACCATCCTTCCGACTGGCAAACCCAAGAGGCTCAGTGGTTTAGACCACAGCGCCACCCATGTCCTTCACATGTACCCATAAATGCACCTCCAAAATCCACCCCGCCATTTTGCTGAATTAGATAGATTGTGGATGGGCCAGTGGGTCCAGATTACAAAGAGGTTTCATCAGAGCTCAGAAGCCTGACCTAACTGCAGTAAAAGTGTGTGTGTGTTTTTTAAGTGGATGTTTTCCTGATAATATTGTCATGGACATAACTTCAGAAGCCAGAGGATCACTTACATGAAGCATATTTGCTCAAAACCATTGGCCTCATATTACTGGAGTGTGTGTGATCTCTATAAATGAATCTCCTATTGCTAGGTGCTGCCCGTTTTATTATAGATGCTGACCATGTGTAAGGGTGGTTGCCAGAGTTCTAGCATGCCTCCCACCCCTGTAAGAAAGAAACCGACACAAATGACATTTGGCATATCCACTAGTTGTCAGCTTGCATCTGTACACTGGGGTTATTTAAACAGGCATGTGACACGATCCTTGGGATCTGGACCTATTCAGCTTCCGTAGCTTCCACACACACCCTCTCTGCAATTGCTCCTTTTCAGGATGGCCTTAATTCTTGCCACCTGGACAAGTAGAGCCTTGTTTCCTTGCAAACTGCAGCTCCACCCTGTACAAACCACCCTTCAATTATCTGCCAAAGTACTTTATGGGTAAATATTTGTTCTGCAGTCTCAGACACTACCTCATTCCTGTTTGTCCAGGCTCTTAATCCAGGACTTTGAATGTTGCGCTTAGTCCATCAACACCCTGAGGTGCTTACATGAAAATTTAAGTATTTAATAACAGACCTCTGTGTGTCTATGTGTGCATTTTCTGATACCTCACTCTTGTAAAGAAAATTCTATTAGTTTAGGACTCACCTATAATTACAGTTTTCTCTCTCTCACTACAGATGTTAAATAAGCAAAGCTAGGAATTGTATTATTTATGATTGCTATTGTTGTAAAAGATGATTATGCTTAACTGAGATACATCTAGGGCATGCACAGAAAAGGCAGAAACCTCTTGAATATAATGGATTTTGGGCTGTTTACCCTTCATAAAATGTTAAATCGGCCAACCAAAAATAACACTTCAGGCAATAGTACCATAACTGTCAAGCATAGCAACCTTTCTGAAATTATTTATTCCAGTATACAGACTTCAGGTTCAGAAGAGCTACCTAGGAGGTACAGTGTTCATAATTGTTTAAAACAAATCCGTCCTCTTTTCTCTAAAATTAACATAGAATACTTGCCTGAAATGTGTGCAAGAAGTTTTTGCTAAGATGGTTAATATTTCAAAGGGAGGAGGGATTAGCCAGGTAGCTGTCCTGTAGTTTGGACCCAAATTTATTTGACAACCCCCCATAATCCTTTTGTAAGCTGTGGTTTAATATCTGCAAGTTCCCTTTCGGCATTGAGATATTGCTAAAACGGTCTTTATAAATTGTGCCTGTTTTCTTTGCAATTGTAAACAAAGGCAAGATCGGACCAGGCAATTTCCATCTGCAAACCCATTGCCGGAGAGCTTCTGGATCCAGTAACATTGCCGGAACCAGGACAGCATTTCTAAGGAAAGCAATGTTAGCTGTGAATACAACCTACAGAACATGAAAGGGCAGCAGGGGCGGAAATCACTGAACACGGCAAACACTACCAATCAAATCCCAACTCAACTATGGTGAGTCCAGTGGGGACATAATAAACCAGCCATGTGTTCTGCAAATACGTAAGCTGTCAAGCATTTGGCAGGCCACAATATATTGTTTGATAGGTTCCAGGTTGCGTATGCCTGTTATTTAGAACATACTTCCATGTGATTCATCCTGTGTAACATGCCCTTGAAGATAGCTTGGAAATTGCAGCCAGTTCCAAATACGACAGGCAGACTATCAAATAGGCCTGGCTGTTGTAAGTGTATTATGCTGTTGTTGAAAAAGCATCGCTCGCTGCCGATTTCCTTCCAGACTTTATTTCAAAGTGCAGATATTGGTCTTAAAAATCAGGTATTTGTTGGGGGTCCTTCTCCAGGTGCCCCTGCTGTCCAAGGGATGTCGCCAATTCTCAGCCTAACCTTCATCAGTGGATAGTTGTCAGGGTGAAGGAGGGTCCATTAGAAATATATTTGCCCCTTCCCTAAGGCTTAGGCCTTTCTGATCCGTTGAACCAGGCTTCCTCAAACTCGGCCCTCCAGATGTTTTGAGACTACAGTTCCCATCATCCCTGACCACTGGTCCTGCTAGCTAGGGATCATGGGAGTTGGAGGCCAAAAACATCTGGAGGGCCAGGTTTGAGGAAGCCTGCGTTAAACCATGAGCATGTCACATGTAAAGCTATGCTGAGCATCTTGCTCAAGCACGAGTGCTGGAAGACAAACACTGGAGAAATATTGTACATCTGCTTGTTTAATAAATGACTTCTCTACTTACTAAACCAATGCAGCATACCATCTCAATTGTATCCGTATCAGGTCTAATGTGGTTTGGAATTAATCTGCACTATAACCAGTCCAGGGGGACGCAGGTGGCGCTGTGGGTAAAACCTCAGTGCCTAGGACTTGCTGATCGTAAGGTCGGCAGTTCGAATCCCCGCGGCGGGGTGAGCTCCCGTCATTCAGTCCCAGCTCCTGCCCACCTAGCAGTTCGAAAGCACCCCTAAAGTGCAAGTAGATAAATAGGTACCGCTTTAGAGCGGGAAGGTAAACGGCGTTTCCGTGTGCGGCGCTGGTGCTGGCTCGCCAGCTGCAGCTTCGTCATGCTGGCCACGTGACCCGGAAGTGTCTTCGGACGGCGCCGGCTCCCAGCCTCTTGAGCTAGATGAGCGCGCAACCCTAGAGTCGGTCACGACTGGCCCGTACGGGCAGGGGTATCTTTACCTTTATAACAAGTCCAGAGATCAGTAACACTTGAGAACCATTGATAACAAAACAAAACAAAAATCAATATCCTAGTCTTACAGAACTAAGTTTTTCAAAACATTACACCCTAACTTGGAACATTTAAAGTGTCTACCTGACCAGTAGCTAAGCAAAACAAAAACCCAGGAGCTAGAACTTAAATTATCTTTACCTGGCTTTCTTGTATACGTGTGGAAGCAACTGTGGTCCTGTTAGCAAATTAGCTATTTATTCTGCACAGAGTAGTATAAAGAAGAGTTACCCTCAAAACAAGAGACTCAAAAGCAACTGAGCCAGGAGAACAATCAAGTCACATGGCAAGTGTTTTACAGTTGAAGATAACAGCAGATGTGGGTCTGAAAGTTACCGTACGTGACTGGGCAGTTACTTGGAAACCCCACTTGTATGAGATCTTTAAAGGAAGAGAAAGGTATCTGCAAGCCATCTTGTGGGTAGGTGGTGTAGATAGAGATTGGGTCAGTGTTTAGCTTTGAAATCTGATCTTTTATTGAAGGTCTCTCCTAACTTTATAACTAGTTCCCATAAAAGGTTGTAAGGTTAGACATCAGTTACCTCAAATGGATAATCACAGCAAATTTTGCTGCACAGTAACCATGCTGTTATCTTTGGAATGATTTACAAATGATTCTAGCTTTGCTCTGTTGTAAATAAAAATATGCCCTTTTCCCTTAGGGTCTCCAGAGCTAACAAGTGCCATAGTTCTACTTTAGCAGGGCAAAATAAGAAACACCAACAAAAATGGTATGAATATAAAGCCATTTTAATGTTCTGATATTTATATCAAATACTCAGTCAAGTATTTATACATACAGTATCTTATAAACTTAGTTTTAACACAACATGTACAAAATTGCACATCGCCGATTACAAAGTCATAAATGTAATCTTTTGTTTTCATGTAAACAATTTCAGCATGAGAATGTTCTACATTCCAGAATGCCTATCCCTCCCACTTAAGAATGTTCACTTCAGTCTCTATTAAAGATCTACAGCGTGATAAAAACCAGAGAATGTTGATGTAAGCCACTACAATCAGATACACATACAAGGCAAGTCGCCTTTTAGTCTTAAGCGCTCAACATAAAGTTTGGGAGATTTGATCCTGTTCCCACGAAGTCATTGGCAAAAGGCCCACTGTTTGCAACAACAGCAGGACCAACATTACCATCCTAAAATCTCTACCTGCCATACAGTAAAATAAAAGTCATCCACGACCCTCAGTTCATAAGAGACAGAAAAAGAGGGGAGGCAGCTGACTGCTGTTTGGCAGTAGGAATTGGGAATATTCTTGTAAACATGGATTTAAACCATTAGACAATTCCCGAGGTATAACATTTTACCTCCTCAGTCACACACACACACACACACGACACAACACAACACAAATCAAGCTGTACATTTAGTCAAGAGGAAGTATTAGTTTTAAAAAAAACTTTATGTCTATAATCATCAATTTTAACAACTTCTAGTTCTATGCTTTATGAACAGTGATGATGAAAAGCCACAATGGGCAAGTGCTGGGCACATTTTTATTAAGTCCTGTATTTTATGTATGTTCACATGCCACCCTCAATTGTTTGAACACATTCTTTGTCAAAAACCAACCACTCAATACAGAAATCATGAATGAAAGCTTAGGTATTAACCTTTGCAATGCTGCAATCCTATACACACTTACCTAAGCAGAACTCCAATTGAGCAAATTCCCATTGAAGTTACTACAAGGTAATACCCAATTACTTTCAAGTAGACATGCACAAGATTGCCCAGCAAGCCATCATAAAAAACACCTATTTCCAGTGAATTATTCATTTGTCCAAACAAACTGTTAAAACACAATTTTTCAAGGACCTCTAACCTCAGCAAGTAAAAGTTTGCGTTTGTTCTTGCAACTGAACTCCCTCCTTCTTTGCTATTACTACTAGCAAACAGGAAACTTTTTGCAGATGCTGGCTGTCCCATAGGCTTGAGCGTTCGAACTAGTATCTCTGTTTAGGAGGACTTTGTTACTGTGCAATAACTGGCTGTATGAGAATGACCCTGCCTAAGCTGCTTCTAGCCTTCTTTGGGACACATTCCCAGGGCATACCCCCCACCCCTCACAGAGCATTTTACATCTGGCTGGACGTGGGTGGTGCTGCGGGTTAAACCACAGAGCCTACGGCTTGCCGATCAGAAGGTTGGCGGTTCGAATCCCCGCGACAGGGTGAGCTCCCGTTGCTCGGTCCCTGCTCCTGCCAACCTAGCAGTTCGAAAGCACGTCAAAGTGCAAGTAGATAAATAGGTACCGCTCTGGCGGGAAGGTAGACGGCGTTTCCATGCGCTGCTCTGGTTCGCCAGAAGCGGCTTAGTCATGCTGGCCACATGACCCGGAAGCTGTATGCCGGCTCCCTCGGCCAATAAAGCGAGATGAGCGCCGCAACCCCAGAGTCAGCCACGACTGGACCCAATGGTCAGGGGTCCCTTTATCTTTTTATCAGCTACTTGCAACCAAGTGAAGATGTCTGTGCCTGACGTCTCTACCATCTGGAAGCACATGCCTGGGGATCCTTGGATCTTGACTGCTTTCACACACCAGCAACACATCCTGTAGAATTCTATCCGTTATATTTCAGTTGCACAATCAGAATGAATTTCAGGAACCAAAAAGTCACACTGAAACAAAAAATGGCAACCAGGCCTTCCATTTTGGCGACTGTAAACCTGGTTTCAGGAGCCATTTGACACCAAGCTTATATATCTGAGTTTCTAACACTGCCCCCACTGACGAAATGCTGTTTTCCCCATACACCTAAGCCAGAGACAGCTAACCTGTGACACTCCAGATCCTATTGGACTACAACTCCCATCAGCCCCAGCCAGCACAGCCAATGGTTGGGGGTTATGGGGCATGCAGTTCAGCGTCTGGAGGGCCTCAGGACAGTCACCTCATAAACCTTACAAGCCTGGAAGTTATATATGTTTGCAACACAGGATAGTTACAAGCTGTTGTTTTGAAAGAAGGGTTGAGAGAACTTCTTAATTTCGCCATACAGCTATGGAATGCTCCCCTTGGATGTGCAGGTGTATCTCAAGAGGACAACCCATTTAAGTAAATAATAAAGCCAAGTTTACCGTTACACAGGTCAATTACCAAATGAAGAGGTGAAAATAGTGTTTTGGTCATTGAACCTGGAGCTCCAGCACAGAGACGATTGGAGTATCCCTCCCCTAATACGGATGGGAGCATGCCAGCTACTCCAATGCCACAACCACCGATCACTGGGCAGTCACTGGGTTGGCAATTCCTGTGCCACCTCTCATCGCTTTCCCCCAAAGTAGGGACACCACTCTGCAGTTATCAGCATCCACCGCTTTTGGGATTTACAGTGTGGTTGGGAAATCAGGTGGGCAGCTAGCCAACATCTGACATCAATATATAATTCTACAGAAACTATAAAAACCATTTCATTCCCCCTTTTACAACCTTTAGTTCTGAAACTGTATACAGTGGTACCTTGGTTTAAGAACAGCTTAGTTTATGAACAACTTGGATTAAGAATGCTGCAAACCCGGAAGTAGGTGTTTTGGTTTGTGAACTTTGCCTCAGAAGCAGAACATGTTCCGCTTCCTGTTGAGTGTGTTCCATTTGTAAACTGAGTCCCCTGCTGCTGTGGAAAAGCACGCCTTGGTTTAAGAACACTTTGGTTTAAGAATGGACTTCCAGAATGGATTAAGTTCGTAAACCAAAGTACCACTGTAATATAGTAGGAAGATATGAAAAGGGTGCATTTGATTAAAGACACAGGACCCACCCATCAACCTAGGTTTTGCTATAACAATAAAACTGTCTTGTCTCAATTGCATTTAAACTAATACTTCACTTGAGTACATTTCAATATGGGGTTACCGTGGCTAAGCTTAGGTAACAATGAAAAATCACCGGTAGTGAAATCAATAGAGAGGGAGAGAAACACTTCATAAGGAAAGTCAAGGTGATACCTACAATAACACTGCCCCCTCCCGCAAAAAAAAACCCGCTCAGATTTTCAATAATTAATTATCAAGCACTTTAGTTTTCGTAGCTAAATCAAATTTTCCAAAATTCTAGGCAGTACTAAGCCATGAAGTGGTAGACCAACAACCTGAGAGGGCTACACTGCTCTATTCTCCAGGGATCGCTTACCAATGGTCCCCTGTTGGACTCTGACTGCTTTCTACCCCAAAGAAGGTGGGAACTGAAGTCCGACACCATACAAAGGGCCACAGGTTAGCAAAGTTAATTTCACAAAGAGAACGTCAAGATTAGGCTGAATACTTGTTCCCGGTATGCTCCTTCTTAGTTGCAAGGTTTTCTCCTCACACACAAGAGCATTCAAACACACAGCCCCCAACCTGCAGCCTGAAGAGGCACAATTCTCAAAAAGCTTTGCCATTTGATTCCTCTGAGTTATAAAATTGGCCCTAAAGACCTTATCCTAAAGCTTGCTGTGAACCCTTAAGTTCTCAAGATGAGACATGTCAGCTTTTGTGCCAGCACACAAGCTGTGATAAATGGCAACATTTCGGGCAGATATTATGGTACCGGAATGTAAAACCTTAACTGATGTTTAGGAACACGTCTGTTATACAGTATCTATAGCAACTCTTTTACTGAAATTCATTAAAATGAAGCTCATGCACCAATTAGGAACCCCACTTTAACAACATAATACAAAGTGACAGAATCCAAGCTATATCTCAACTGCTATGATTAAGTTGAAAGATGTCTGTGAAAGACCCAGTCCGAAGAATCTATATGAAATGACTGGCAACAGTGTTCAAGTCAACAGTGCAGAAAATTGCATTTTTCAAAGATACTCAGACTTTCAGCATCACCTGAAAAAAATGTAGCATGAACAACTGCTCCCTCAATAGTCTTTCCTTCTTGGAAGAAATACTGTTTGGCAGAACTCTAAAAAAAAAAAAAAACCTTGTCATCTCAGTGAGATGTAACATCCCTTGATCTAATTTAGTGCAAGGGGACTAAATTGTGCTGGCTCACACAATTCTCTTTCACACTTGTAGCCTACCATTGCTTCAAAACACTCACTGAGGTGTACGTGAGGTTTACTCCTTTTAATCCTTGCAAAAATCTTGAGAGGTAAGTTAGACTGAAATACAGTGAGTCATCCAGAGAGCACCATCACAGCCAAGCTGAGATTTGAACCCAGGTACTTCCAGTCCAAACCCAGTCTACCCAACAACATATATAGCCTCCAGTATATATAGGGTTCTACCTGTATATTCTTCTAATGGTGAGTGGATAGCAACTCATTTGCTCACCATCAATAATCTGTACAACTCTTACTTGAACTCATCCCAGTGATTCAAGTCTTCCTGTCCCTATGCTGAAAACTCTCAAGCAGGTGTGGGCAGCCTGTGGCTCTTTAGGTGCGTGCTGGACTACAACTCCCATTCTCCTGCGCATTGGCCATGTTGGCTGGGACTGTTGGGAATCGAACAACATCTGACAGCCGAGGGAGGGCACAGGTTCCCCATCCCTGAACTAAAGACTACAATCCTATGCACACATATCTCAGAGAATGCCTCTCTGAGTTGAGCAGGACTTGATTGTGATAGCAAATATGCTTACAGTTGGGTTACGAAGTCTTTTTATATGAAAAGTGTGGGATGTGATACATAAGTAGCAGTCAAGTACAACATTCCTTGTTCTCCTAGAGTGGACATGCGGGGAAATGTTTGGTCCAGCCAGTCGAAAACTTCCTGTTTCCTCCTGGCTCGGGCATCCTTCCTTTGCATGTGACTAGAGGTGGGTGTGACCTTACCTGTTCAGGTAACGAAAGGACAAGGCATGCTGCCACACTCTGTCTCTTCCATCTTCCTTTCATTGTGTGAACTGCAGTGACTGCTAGCTTGCAGTCACTGGGATTAATACCCCATATGGGGTAGGTCCACATTTATATACTTGTAACTAAGTCTGCCTTCAGGGATCCAACTGTGAACTGATGATGTGAGTAAACTTTTATTGACATTAAATAAGATTGTCGTGTTTTTATTCTTTTAAGAGGGATATAAGGGAACTTACCAGGAACCTGATAGTGAAAGGCTTACACAAGCCTGCAACCAGCTACGTTTAAAAGGGGAATCTGAAACTCTGATAAGTAAAGGAACTTGCTAGCACAAATTAGAAAGGATAGTAATCAACAATATATCCTCTCCTGCCTCCCTGAACATGCCCACAAAAAGTTTGGTAGGACTCGAGGACAAAAGCTACAAAAAAGGTCACATGTATGCTCTTCTCACAGTAACATGCACGTTTACAGCATTCCAGATCAAGCCATTCATCTTAACCTGCTTCAAAGCAGTTTGGTACAGGTGCCATACAATAATTCACTATTGTACTGCTAAGGATTATCAGGAATGCGATTATTTTGGAGGCAGCTGACAGAGACCAAGCAGGGTCCCCATTTGTTTTACTGTTTTCTATTACTGGGTCTCAGCATGCCTACTTTGAAAAACAAAACAAAAACAAAACCGTAATGCAACAGACAACTTACAGTGAATGCTATTCAGCAGCATACGGCATAGTGGGATGGAAGCACTCGCCCGACTTCCCGGCAGATGAGTCGCTGCCATTAACCGGGAGGGCAGCGCAGAGCAAATGCACCAGCAGTTGCACCATCGCCACTCCCAGAATGTAACGGCGGCTCACCTTCTGAGCCAGGCAAAAGGCAAACTCAGCCCTCCAGATGTTTTGGGACTACAACTCCCACCATCCCTAGCTAACAGGACCAGTGGTCAGGGATGATGGGAATTGTAGTCCCAAAACATCTGGAGGGCCGAGTTTGCCTATGCCTGTTCTGGGCAGTCAGGTAAATGCCTTTGCTCCACCACACTTGCCCACTGCCGGTACTATCTACTATGGGAAATAGTAAACAGATTACGGAAAACAGGGATTACAGTATGCTAACAGAAGGCATCATTCAGTAACTGCAGCAAGTTTTTATCCTCTGATGTAATATACAGGACAATGAAATCACACTCAGGAGTAGACCTACTGAAATCAATGGACAAGTGTGACTTAGTTGGATGTTGTTGTTGTTGTTGTTGTTATTATTATTATTAGATATTATCCACTGTTTAAACATTTGCAAGCAATTAGAACCAGAATATCTGAAATGACTCCTTACCCGGCATGGCAGGTTAGCTTGCTTGCGATCGTATCAGCAGGATACCTAGAACATGGACTGACGATATAACTCAAACTAGTGTGAATACATGTAGTCTATTTTTTCATGCTTAACTCACACAAGGTTAATTCTCTCATTCCCACACAACTCTTCTAGTTACGAGACCAGGTCTTGCATGACCACAAAAGGCTGCAGCTTTGCTGATCAGCATTTCTAGGATTAAGCATGCATAGGAATCATGGAGTCTTAAATCTAAAACCTACACATCTTAGAATACCACTTTAAAATCATGCAGACAGACTTGCTTGGAATGACTGCATCCAAATGTTGGATTGGAAACATATGCATTAGTAATCTATGAAATTATAGCTACTGATCAAATCAAGTGTCTCTGCCGCAAAGGAACAGATTAAAAAAATTCAGGGTATCATTACTAAACAGTGTTCATTATTTTTAACCCCAACTGAAATGAACAGAAATCACTTTTAAGTTTGCTTCCTCTGAGCTAGGCCATTTCAACATTCAATTCCGTCTTCACAATTAGCCACAGTGTATAACTAAGAATGGATTCAAATCTGCAGCAGAAAGCAAAAATAAGCCTCACTTACATCACTTTGTGCTTTATATATTCTTCCTCTCCAGGCAAATGCTATTAAAATATATTCTGGCTATAATATAAAAATCCAGAAGTTGTTTCAGCAAAAATTAGTACTTTCATACACCACTGATTTCAGTGGCAGAGTTGAGAACATGTTTAAATCAATGGAAACTTAAGTGCCGTCAACATCTGCCCATTGTATTTAAGATGTCACTTAGTGCAGATCTGCTTTCGAGTACTTCAAAATGAAAAACACCACCCTACTAGTATTTATGGCAACAGTTCAGCACTGGTTAAAAATGGAAAGCGCCACCACCATTCAGATAGTTGGCATTTTACCCAGCGATTCATTTTTTTTGTAGCTGAAGAACCTACTTGCTATAAAATCACGCGCCATTACGAGCATCTAGGTCCACCAAAAAACCACCATGTTATGTTTTTGAAGATCGAGTTCACACCTGAACACGAGCTTCCACCCAATGATAGAAAAAAATATTTTGAGAGCCAGACCTATACCACCAGTGTGTTAAAAAGAGGAATTGGGTAGGAGTTGTGACACATCGTCACTCACTAAGTTAGCAACAAATTAGTCAGCTCCTCTAGACACACAACCATGCGAGTTACTACCTGAGTGTTCATGTGGGCTATGTAAGTGTGCAGGAAAACCAGCTGCCCTCCCTCTACTTAAGGAAAAAGGTTTACAGTCCCTTTAAATCGCCTTTTTCACTGACAGAAAGTGCCATGCCAGTTCAACAATGGACATCACCCGGATCAGCAAGCTCACTAGAAACTGGAATATTTGCCCAATGAAGTGCTAATGCAGGTGAGTACTAATCAGCCTGGAATTTTGTGTGTGCATGCCTGTGTGTGTATCTGGTGGGTATTCTTAAAATGATCCAACGTGCAGGAGCCAAAGAAAGCAAACCAAAGACTTGCTATAATACATGCACACAAAAGAGCAAGCAGAAAGGGGTGGAAAGGTGGATTCAGATGAGAAAAGTGCATTTTAAAGGAATGATCAATCAGGTACTAACTCACCTCTGCAAAAAGAGAGAGAGAGAAATTCTCAGAACTGGGTGGGTGAGAGGAGAGGGACAGACCACAACATGGAATGGTTTTGAATGCATCTGAGGCTGGGGAATGAGAGGAATTCTATTGGTGGGTCAGAAAGTAAAATGTTCAGTCATGAACAGCACTGCATTTAAACAGGCTTGCAGGGACACTGACAGGATGACTGGTACTTGTAGAAAAACAACAGCCTTTAATACAAATACGAGGCAGATAGCAAAAAGGCTACAAAACGGGTGAACAACCTAGAACACTGCATATATTTCAAGAAGCAAAATACGCTTTTGGCAGAAATGATGCAGCATGCAGCCCCATCAATCGCAACAGGTAAGAAAACGTAGGTTCCAGCTCCAACCTCTGAGACAGCCAGAGTTATTATGTACCCTTATGAGAAAAGTTAAGAAACAAATTGCAAGAAACATGCAACTTCCAGGTACATTTGAGAAGCAGCAACAACCGTGATTTATCTAAGCCTGAGCATTTTTCCCTTAGATTTAATATTCCAGATTAGAACCCACCTGAGAAAAAACATTGTAACATCATCGGGCATTTTCAACTATGTAAATGTAGGAGCTGCTCTGGTCCCAGCTAAGGTGATACCTTTAGTACAACTCGTTATTTAATTTGCATCCCTCACACTTAAGGCACTGCTATAAAGTCTCCACCTTTGCCATATTATCCTTTAAGAGTATGCAAGCTCAAGTACTTTTTCTGCCATATTGATGAAACTCTGGCAATTAATGCAAGATGGACTGATCAAATGAATTAAGCTTTCTTCCAAGTTTCTCCATTTCTAAAAGGATAAGACTGGTTATTTCACATATTTGCAGCATTATGGTTCCAAATACAAAAAGCTCCTGATGTCATTAAGTTGGAGCTGCAATCCTATGCGTACTTAACTTGGGAATAAGCTTGACTTAACTTACTGAGACTTACTTCCAAGTAGATATGCAAAGCATCGCTCCAAAAAGCTCTCCAAAGCATGGAAATGGTACTGTGTAATACAATCTATGATATCTGCTTATCATTATTTCTCAAGCAAGGTTGTCACAGTACTGCCTTATGGAAAGTAATATATATACACTGCCACAAGCTATTCATATGTTATATCCAGGCAACGATTGTTATATCAAGAGCTCAAGTTTAAAATAAACCACAGAAACAATAAAACTGCATTTTGAGAAGCAGCCAAACTATGCTCTATACAACTGGGGACGGGGAGGAGATTTTGCACGGCACACTTTGATCAGAAAACTGTCAAAACTCTCAGTTAAACAAATTACAGGCAACAGTTTCTTTTTACTGATCCCACTTTAAAACAAACCTCAAAGACTTCAAACTTCTCTTTCCTCCTCCCACCCGGAATCACAAAGTCACAGAATTGGAAGTTGGAAGGGGTCAGGATGGTCATCTAGTCCAACCCCCCTGCAGTGGAGGAATCCTGCCCACAGCCATCCCTGGGTGGACTTGAACCACCAACCTTCTGGTTAACAGCCAGACACACTGAGAACTAGAAAATATTTACAATGGAAACTGCAATAAAATAGCTTATACACTGTTCTTGGAAGAAAAACTACCCACATTTCTATGTGTTATTCAAAACACAGTACAATAGAATTGTTCTATTTTTTTTTTAAAAAACCAAGCCTTTTCTGCATAGAAGTGGCAGTGCAACCCTAGACATGTCTACTCAAAGGCAAGCTCCACTGAGTTCAATGGGACTTAGTCTTTAGTAAGTGGGCATAGGACTGCAGCCTCAGCTACTATACTTCCATACAGAGCAATTACAGCTGGAATGTGCACCATGAAGGATAAATCATCTGATATTTACTCTTCCAAAACCATTTCTTTTATCATTCTGCACATTATAAAAATAAAATGTGACATTCCAAAGCATTTCAATAAATAAGCCTATCAATGTCCCAGATTTGTGCTGGCACAAGAAATAAAATGGAGCTCATAAGTCTAGAAAAAACCCCACAATCTTCTTAAAACACTAATTTTTAAATAAATAGTTTTGTGTGGCACATCATCTTCTGTTGCTGTACTTTAGCACTACTCATTCATGATGAGCAAATTATCCAGCATCAGAAATTCAACCAAAACATTCTCACAGCAACTACGGTAATCATTTTTAGACTTTCCATTACTACACCAAGAAAAACTACACTGCCATATCGTCTATAATATTTATAGTATCTTCCTAAACAATTACATTTTGGCTCTCTCAAAGTCTGAGCAATTCTATAAAACTTCTACAGCAGGAAAATAATAAGTTATCTCTCTGTACATAAGACTTGACAAGCCCTGTATTAGCTACGACCATCCCAAATTCTTGAGAAACATTTCACAAAACTACCCCGTGTCAAACTGCAAGGATTGTATCTTTTAAAAATATTACCGCTCTTATCAAAACACCTAGCAATCTGCATGACATACATGCCCCATACCAAACAATTAGCACCCCATCATAGAAAATCTAAAGCCTTTTTAAAGAAATAAATAAATAAGCCTGCAGCCAAAAAATACTGGATTTTTTTTTAAACAATCCCTGGCAACTTGAAGAAAAAGCTATACAGGTTGACTCTAATCACCTTCCACCACAAAAATAATAAAAAAAATTCAAGACTCTCTAAAATATATAGTCCTCAACAAAGACAACTTCTGCCCACACCATAAGCTCAGGTGGGATCATTGAAGAGATCTTTGGACTTCCAGCAACAATCTGGTTTTGTTTTTTTCTGTGTCTGATCTGCAAAGCTTTTCAGATTTGTTTTGAGCTGGAGAAGCTAGAAAAGTGAGCACATTTTCAAGCTGGAGTTTGTTTTTGAAGATCACCAGCCTCGGGCTTCCTGATGTAACTGGGGACTGTCAGAATGGCATCAACTGCTGCAGCTTCACACACCCTCCTTCGCCTTGATGTCTGCGCACCTGACCTGTGCTCCTGAAAGAAAAACTCAAACACCACAATCTGGTTATTAATCACTTCAGCGTCACTTTCACGACTTGGCAGGAAAGCTATCGATGCTGGAAATGATCTCAAATTGGTTTCGACTGAAGAGTACTTGTTAAAAGTTTTGTTTCCGGAGTAAACAACATTCCCTGGCTGTCCAAAGCGCCTGTTGTCCCATCCTGTCCCTTGAGGAGCAGAGACTGTTGCTCCCCACATTTCTTCTCCCTCCCCACCTCCCACTACGCCGCGTTTCTCTCTGGCTCTTGGGGCTCCCTTTGGAGCTGGTAAGGGGGCACAGGGGTGCATAGGGGGCGTGTGGGAGAGGAACCTCTTCACCCATCCGTTCGCCAAGCTCCTCCGATGACCGAATGGCACCTTTGGGAACCGAAGAAGAGGGAACTGAAGGTTCGCCACCATCAAGGGGTCATCCTTCCCGCTCTGCCACGCAAGGCAGGCTTGTGCGCGCCTCGGTATCTCTCCCCGTCGCGGGACGGTCGAGCGGCTTCAGCAAGCGCTGGTCTCCGGTTCTGCGGGTCCTTCTCTGCCGGGGGGCTGGCTAGCTGCCGCCGAGGTCTGCGTCGGGGCCGCCGCCGCCGCGGCGTTAATGTGGCAGCCGCTGGAGAGGTGGCTCCGGACGCGGCCTTGCAGCTGGGTGACCTGGGCGCGCAGGAGGCTGGCGGTGGCGGCCAGCTCGGCGTTCTGCCCTTTGAGCGCCTTGACTTTCTCCTCCAGGCGGGCGATGCGCTCCAGCTTGCGCCGGCGGCACTTGGAGGCCGCGATGCGGTTGCGCAGCCTCTTGCGCTCGGCTTTCAGGCGCTCCTGACTCTCGGCGTCCAGCGGGGACAAGGAGGAGGCCGGCGGCGGCGAGTCTCCGGACGAAAGCGCCGGAGGTGGCGGAGGAGGAGGAGGAACCGACACCACGGCCGCCTCCGGCACCGTCTGCGGCTCCTCCAAAGCTCTGCCCGTCGAGCCGGGCGCTGGAAGGCGAGCCACGACTTGGGGAGGGAAAAAAGTGCCGCCGGCCGACGGGCTGGCCGGGTTGAAGCCGCCCAAGGTGGTGTAGACGGCGGGCGACTCCTGGCGGGACGGAGGGCAGCAGGGGCCCCCCGGGTGGGCGGTGGGCGAGAGGGGCGCCGGAGACACGCCGAGCAGCTGGTTCTGCTTGTGCAAGTCGGCCAGGGCTTTCACGAAGCCGTCGGCGAAGCCCTCCTGCTCCTGCGTCACCGCCTGCTGCTGGGCCGAGGGCTGCGGAGACCGGTACAAGAAGGAGCCCCCGGCCGCCGCCGCCGCCACCACCGAAGGCCCTCCGCCGCCGGGGCTGGCCGGACCGGCCAGGCCAGGGCTGCCCGCTTGGATCAGCAGCTGCTCGAGGTCGGCGGCCGCCGGCAGCTTCAACAGAGGCTGCAGCACGCCCGAGCCCACCTCCTGGCCGACTCCGGGCGCGTCGGCGATCAGGCGGTGCACGGCGTTGCTGGTGCCGCCCCGGGGGCGCAGCGAGGTGAAGGGACCGGTTGGCGGCAAGGCAGCGCCGGGGGTGGCCGCCGCCGCCGCCACCAAGTCCCGCTGCTGCTGCTTCTTCCCGGCCAGGAGCAGCTTGTGCTGTTGGTCCGCCGCGCTTTCCTCGGCCGGCTCCAGCCCCGCAGGTCCCGCTGCGCCGGGCCCGCCCGCGAAGCCCGGCAGTTGCACGAAGTCCGGGAGCAGCTCCAGCCCGTCCTCGCCGTAGAAGGGGGCCACCTCCATCTTCACGGCCACGCGGGCGCCCGAGCGCCCGCCGCCGCTCATGCTGGGTGCGACGGCGAGCGGGGCCGGAGTTGACGTCGCTGCTGCTGCCGCCGCCACTAACTGAATCTCCTTCGCTCCCAGGAGGGGAAAAGAGGAGGCGCGCAGCCTCGAAGGCGCCGCCGGCAGCAGCAGACCCTCACCGGGCGCGCCCGCTCGCCGCCTCCTGCCCCAGGGCAGCCGCCCGGGGCTCGCCGCTTTCTACTTGTGGCATTTTCGGGAAGAAAACTCTTCCCACCCCCCCGCTTCCAGCCAGAGGAACTGATGTCAAAAACGCCTCGCCTTAGCAGTTCCTGCCGCTCCGCCTTTCCAGGCTGCGGCCGCGGCGGCGCTCACACTGCCCTCTAGGCTCCGGCGCTGCCGAGGCTGGCCGAGCGGCCTTGGGCTGGCTCGCCTCCTGCTTTTCTTTGTTTACGGAAGGCGATCGCAAGCAAAACAAAGGGAAAGGGGGCGCTGCTGCTTCTAGAGAGGTGGCATGGGAAGGTGGCATAGAGAGAAGAGAGATTAGTACAGTACTGTAAATCTGAATGTGGGAAGGGTTCCTTTTAGATCCCCCCCCCCCCCCAGGGCGCACCCATACTATAGAGAATATCTTCGGCCGCAAATCTCTTCCAAGGCGCTTTGCAGTTAATACCGCAGGCTTTTAAAGACGCCTGATGACGAGTGACAGAGCACGTGCCTACTTTACCAACCAAAAGAAAAACCTAATGCACAGAGGCATGTGAATTTAATTGCAGATCTTTAAGCAAAAATGCAGGGGAAAGTACGGGAATTTTTAAGATGCTTGAAACGGTGGTCAAAGCAGGTAGGTGGAGGAATAGCAAACAGACTTGTACAACCAATAACAACCAACAGCCTAAAGCCACCCCTCAACTTGATGATATTCAGGGACCCCTCAGACTGTTTTCCTGTTGCCATAGGTGAAAATAAATTTTGTTCTTCTCTTTCTCTGATTGCAGTCCCTGTTCTCTACACTGCATAGAGGTAACTCATTTCTTCAAGTATAAGGAGTGAAGGAAAAGGGAATATTGTATTCAGGAAATTAGAAGCTTAGGGAGTTGCTGCCTATCATGCCAGACCATTTGTCCATCTATGAGAGTACTATATACATGACTGGCTACAGCTTTCCAGGGTTTCAGACAAGAATTCCCCCCAGTCCTATATGCAGATGCAAGGCAGTCAGCCAGGGACCTACCAATGAGATGTTAAAATATGTCAAAAGGAGGCAGAACAGAGAACATCTAAACCTTCACCTAAAAATATTCGAAGGAGCCAATCTAGCCTTTCTTGGCTAATCAGGATGGGCCCAATAAAAAGACACACATCCCAGCCAACTTCATCACTCTTGCCAGCAAAATCAGGACAGGGCTTCCAAATATGAATGCAATTGATGGATAGTTTATACAGGAAGAGGTGGCCCTTCAAATATCCTAGTCCAGGACCATTCAGGACTTCAGAGGTAATAGCCAGTACCTTGAATTTAAACAAGGCTTTTTTGAAATGGTCAAAAAAGCAAGCACCAAATATTATTGTGGCATCAGCTGTAATTTCCCAATATTTCCCAAGGGCAGCAATACGGCACATTGCAACAATTTACCTTGGGTGTGACTAAGGCAGGTGTGGGAGTGGGCAGGTCTGCTTTCTCTGTTGGGTATGTTTAGCCTGGTAAAGAGGAGACCAAGAGGATAGCCATCTTCAAATATCTAAAAAGCTGCCACATGGAGCAAACTTGTTTTCTTCTGCTCCAGAGGCTAGGACCTGAACAAATAGCTTTAAGTTACAAGACAGGAGATGCTGCCATCAGGAATAACACTCTGACAGTAAGAGCTGTTTGACAGTGAAACAGACTCCCACAAGTCTATCTGTGTTCTGCCCTCAACACCATAGTTCAGTCAGTAGAGCACGAGACTCTTAATCTCAGGGTTGTGCGTTCAAACTCCACATTGGATGAAAGTTTCCTGCATTGCAGTAGGTTGGACTAGTAAATTGTAAACTGTATGGTCTAGCTTAGAGGACGCACGATCCAATATTACTCCTGAAGCCCTGCTGGTTGCTATGGTAGGGAGTGGTTTGCTTAACACTGGCTGGTGACCCAACTTACTCCCCTCAACTGTTCCTTATAAGGCTTGGTTTCCAGACCCTTGATCATCTTTGTCACCCTCCTTAGCAGACATTCCAGCTTGTCAATATCCTTCTTAAACTGTGGTGCCCTGAACTGGACACAGCATTCCAGGTACAGTCTAACCAAGGCAAAATAGAGTGGGACTATTACTTCCCATGATTGGGACACTATACTTCTGTTGATGCAGCCTAGAAGAGCATTTGCTTTTTTTGCTGCTGTATCACACTGTTGACTCATGTTAAGCTTGTGGTCTACTGTGACCTCTAGACCCTTTTCACATGTACTACCGGCAACCGTGTTCCCCATCAGCTGGTTCTTCCTGCCTAAATGTAGATCCTTACACACTCCTCTCTCAAAATGGGCAAGTTCCCCTAATGTTTTCTCACCCTAGAGCAGAAACCACTTCGCTGTCACAACATATCCATCCAACAATTTACTCGTTAGCTCCACATTAACGAGAGCCTAGAGAAAAATAAATACACATCTTCTAACCCAGGATACAACACCCACTCCCCTCCTGTCTCCCCATGGGTGCTGGGGGCGGACAGGACCCACAAGAACAGGCTCACAAACTGGAGCATGAAACAATTGTTCTCCTTCTACTAGCATCCCCATCAACAGATAATGAACATTCCATACAACTCCATACTTTTTACCTAATGGCCTAGATTTAAAAAAATGAAAGTCCACAAAGCAAAATTCAAAAAAGGGCACATCACCCTTTGGGGCCATTCCATTGAGGCTGGTGGTACTTATGTGCAGAAATTGTATGAGACCAAAGCTGTGCTACTACAGGGGTTCCCCGAGGAAGGCCAAGGGTGAAACAGATACCCGCGATTCCAAACACAGACAGCGGCACCTCAATTTTTTAAGCTACTGTTGACTTTAATCATTTGTTTTTAAATACCTGTTTCTGGCTTTTTTTTTTTTTACTGAGAATTCTAATGTTTTATATCTTTGTAAGACAACCACTGCACAGTTCACAATTAAGCAATATAAACTGTGTATATAAGCAAAATATATGTCTTGTTGAGTTTAAAAAATTCCTTATTACTGTACTTGGTTACTTAGGAGTAAGCACAGTTTAGTTCAATGGGGTTACTCTTAAGTAAGTAGGAGCAAGCGCGCAGCCCTAAAAGGAAGAACAAATCATGCAGAAATTCTTCCATCTGTCTCTCGCTTGTTTCAGAACGATTTAAAATAGGCATCTGCGAGAGGCCACCCTGTGCGCAAGCTCAGCTTTCAAACAGGCCCTTTTGAAGAGGGCAACAAGCCACTGTTCGGACGCACGTACAGTTACGAGCGCGGGAGCCAAGGTAGGCACGTCAAAATCTGAACGGCCGCTCCTATTGGACGCGCCGAGCAGAGACGTGCCGCACCCAAACCACCGCGGGGCGTGACCAATAGCAAAGCACGGTGGCGGCGCTCTCGCGAGAGTTGCTCTGAAGCTGGCAGCGCCATGTTGAAGTAGGGAGAGGCCACATCCAGCTTATGTCGTTCTTCGGGTTTTTTAAATTTTAAAAAAGGGACGCGGAGGCCTCGGGGAGGTATTTGGATCTTCGCGGCCTTTTAAGTGTGCTTTCGAGCTCCCGAAATTTTTTTTTACGGCGGTCGAAGGAGGGCGGCAGCGAGAGGATGGTGCAGTCTTGCTCTGCCTACCGTTGCCGGAATCGATACGACAAAGAGAAGCCCATCTCCTTCCACAAGTGAGTAGGGGCGGTGGCACGAAAGCTTGAAAGGAGGGCGCGAGGAGACAGAGGGAGAAAGAGAGCGGGAGCGCGCGCGCGCGCGCCCACCCGGCCGCCTGAGCGGGCGGGAAAGGGAGATGCCGTTTGCTTCACGAGGCGGAGCCACAGCGCGTGCGCGCTGCGAAGGGGGGGGAGGGGAGAACTGTTAAAATGTACGCTGCTTCGGCCTTTACTGAAGAGACGCGGAGACAAAGAAGGCGGGGCTAATCGCGCTCCGGTTGTTAATTAAAAACAAAACAAAAAAAATAATAACCCGTGATGGGGGGCGGGGCCGGGATTCGAAGATGTGCCTTGTGGGCTGCGCGGTGGGGATGCGCGTGAGGCAGATTAACCGTCACTGACAGGCTACCTCAAGTGCCATCTCCCTCGAGGCTAATTTCTGGTGTTTTCCCTCCCTTTTCTTTTGGTAAAAGCACAGAAAAAGCGCCGTTTTTACCCGTTTGCAGCAGCATTAGAAAGAGTTTTCGTGGCTTCACAGGTGTATTTGTTGCTGGAACTGTTGTGACCCCCTCACGAGTTATAATCTTCTGACGTTTACAACAATAAACACTGTCTTTAAAGAGTCTCAATGTTTTGTTTTTTTAGTCCAGGGGACGTGCTCTCTTCTTTCCGTTCTGCACCACCCTATCTATCTCGTAACTACTTGCTGTACTATCACCCTCTGCTTCTTCCATAAATGTCTTTGTATTCCTGCAGGTCACCTCTATCTCTTACCCTCCTACTTTTCTGTTTTTCTCCTCCCCCTTCCCCCAAATCTATGTATCTCCATCTGTCAACTGACCTCTTTTTTTTCTTGCCCAACAAGAGGTTTGCTTGTTTTTTAATGCAGTACACTGAGTTTCGCAGTAATAAATAACACCATTTCAATGAGTTTGGGTAGACCGCTGTTTCCCAAACATGGGTCTCCAGCTGTTTATGGAACTACAACTTCCATCATCCCTGACCGCTGGTTCTGCTAGCTAGGGATGTTGGGAGTTGTAGTCCAAAAACAGCTGGGGACCCAAGTTTGGGAAATGCTGGGGTAGACCCAAGATCAGGGATGGGGAATTGGTGGTCTTCCAGATGCTGTGGAACTTGTGTTGGCCCCAGGCAATGTGGTCAATGGTTAGTGTTTATAGCGGTTGTTGTCCTGCAACATCTGGAAGGACAGAGGTTCCCCACGCCTAGATCTTTCCAAAAGAGGTAGGAAAGAAGCACAAAACAGTCATTTGGCATTTCACATCCGAAGACCAAAATCAGAAAAAGGTCCACAGCTGTTTTACAGTTGTTCACATCTGCTGACTAGCAAATCATTGCAGGCATTATTTGCTGCAGGGTGGTCCTTGAGGAAATCCAGAAGTCCTATTCCTAACTCCCCTAGTTTTAGCCAAATCATCATTGCCTTGTAGCAGCGGCCTGAAAACTGCTAAGGGGGCTCTTGCTATAGGCTCTTGGCACGATCAAGAAGTTGCACTCTTAACAGGATTTCCAGTTGAAATCCAGTTTGTAGAACCAAAAATGAATTTCCCCCCGTTTTTGCAGTGCTTTGATAGAACTCTGCCTCATTAAGCAAACGAGCAAACATTTAAAGCTAAGCGAGGATGTTTTTGTTTTGCCTGGCAGGCTTTCTGAGCTCTGAAATTCCTTGAGACAAGCAGAAATTCAGGGATGAGAAAGTTTTTGGCTGTTGAAACTACACGTGTTGCTTTGCTTTTTTAAAAGGTGCACAAATTCATTTACAGGCTCCTTTTTGCTGCACTGCTTTGAAAGTTATCACAACTTAAGCTGCATTTGATTTAATGGGGACTTATTAAGCAACTAACTCACTCTGGATCCAATCCCATGTTTTCTAAAAAATTAGAAAGTGAATTGAATATGGCTAAAGGGACAAGGGCAGTCTTTAAAGACTGTATGCCTGGTAGAAATTCAGCTGTTATAATGTTCCCAACATAGATATATATGAGGTGCAACATATGGAATATCTGTCTATTATGTAGCCTTTAAAGGCACAGAAGGTTTTTTCTAACTCATGTCCACCACCACTATTGAAGCATAATCTGTAGTAATTCCTCTTGTATCAAGTGAACAACTCATGCTTTGATTTACGAGTATTTTATCTGTAGAGGCGTTAGCTGTATTTCTCATTCTAAACATCTGTTATAACCATCTTCCTTCAAACCATTTACTAAAACTAGTATTAAGCATATCCAGGCTATCTTATGATTGCAGAACCAGGGAAATCTTCACAGCATTCCATGGCTTTGTAGATCTCAGCGCCCAACGTTCAAGATCTGAGTTTGACAACATTTACTGTTAGGATATGGACAGCCCACAGCCTGTTCTCTGGCAAATTTTACAGGCTTGAAGAAACAGCACCAGTTTCCCTCACACTGGTCATATTGCCCTGCCCCTGAGCCAAGTTGAAACATAATCCTGTAAACTTTCAATGGTACTCTGTGTTCCCAATAAAGCACATTTGCTTTAGTTTTAACAGGTCAAACATGCACTTTAGTTTGACAGTCCTCGTCTCATTTTTTGGCCAAAAACACAGTTCTGTTTCAGCTGTTCCTTCTTACTGTCCAGTGAAAACCTATATTTTCAAAGGAGAAGTAAAAAAGAAAGTAAAATCTTTCAAGTCTGTCAGGTGGTTAGAATTACATGGACTGAAAAGAGGTAGATCTCCTGAGTTTTGTTTTAATTCTTTGTACTCCTTATTTATAATCCAAATAAGTAAAACACATATGCTGAATATGTTCTCTTATTGTCATCTTTTCTGCACTCACTGATAACCCATCTACCTTTTTCTTTTTAAAAACGCCAGAGTTTTATTCTGTGAGAATATTTAATTTTGTGAAAAGTCTGTTAATGTTTTGTTTGCCACCTTAGGCTCCTTTGGGAGGAAGAGTGGAATAATAATACAGCAATCAGAGAGCAACATTCAAGGGCACTACTATAAAATGAAATCTCCAGCCCTGCCTACTTTATTTGAATTTTACATTCATTCCTATGTACTGCCACCATTTTTCTACAATTCTGATTGGAACCAGAAGCAAGTCCTGTGTGGAACTCCTGTTATTTATATATTTTAATATCACTTTGAAAACAGCTTCTGGGACAGTTTATTACTGTTGCCTGGTAGACAAAGTGGGGAAATATCCTTGCTAGTTTATATAGGATGGACCGACGGAATGTGTGCAAATAATAACCTATTAATTGCCTAGTCTTGTTTCAATGTTGCTCTAAGATTGCAGCCCTAAATGCCTTACTTTATGGAAGTCCCATTGCTTTATCAGTTTATTTTAGTTGAATTGCAGTCCCACCATGGTCAAAGACCAGCTTAGGAGCCTTAGGAAGTGGTCGGGATGAATCCTGCGCTGCTAGAGTCTCCAGTTACATCTGTGGAGAGCTCATCCTTTGGTAGTGGGGAATGGGATGTGTTGAGGGTTGCTGTGGATCTACAGGAGTCAAAAACTTCTTTGGACTCCTGACACAGTATTAGAGTTGGAGAACAAAAAGCATTTAATTTAAATTGAAAAGCCAGAAGGAGAACAAAATTGGGAGAAAAATCAGATTTGAAATAATGAGCTTTTAAAATAAGTACTTCTGACTTTTGAATATTAGGTACTAGTTGGTGAGTTCCCCAATATTTCTCTACACACAGGACTGCAGTTCCCCAGCATTCTTTGAATAATCTCTCTGCTCCATCCACCAAATTCTGCTCAAATTATGCTTTGTTTCTAGGTTTCCCCTCACAAGGCCTGATCTCTGTAAGAAATGGGAAGCTGCGGTTAGAAGGAAAAATTTCAAACCAACAAAGTATAGCAGCATTTGTTCTGAACATTTTACTCCAGATTGCTTCAAAAGAGAATGCAACAACAAACTACTAAAAGACAACGCTGTGCCAACAATATTTTGCCATACAGAACCAAATGTGAAGGTAAGTGAGGTTTGTGGATCTTTTATAAAACGTCTATTATTCACAGATACATTTGTTTATACATAAGCAGTGGTTCTTTTTCTAAGCAACAGATATTGTGTGAAGAGGAGAGCAGTTATTAGCATTGGCACCAAATAGGAGAAGGCTGGATTGCTCAGTTCCTGCTTCTTGATGTAGTAACTGGAATTGGCTCTCAGCTCCTCTACTACTCGCTCCCATTAATTGAACACTTTTTTTTTTAGTTGTTGGGGGGGCCTTCAGTGTAAAAATGTGAAAGTGGCTTTTTCATTAGGCTGCAACTTTTAAAGTGTTGTTAGCACTTTTAAACACATGGTCCTACAAAGGTCCTACACCCAATAAACTTGATGGCTTCCATAAGAGCTCGGAGAGAGTGAATAAGCTGTGAGCAGTGCTTCTCCTTTAAGGTGGTATACTATTAGCTTTCCTCACCATTGCAAGGGCACTAAACATTTGACAGTATGTGTGGCTACAAAGCACCCCGTTTTGCCTTATGATTCCTGGAGAGGATCGCTGCTCCAAACTACTCACTGTAAGGCCTGTAGCCTTGCCTGCCAAAGGTTCCAGGTTCAGCCAGGAAATGTCCCTGGTCTGAAACGTTGGAGACCTGCAGCCAGACAATGTAGACAGTACATAGACCAATGGCCTAAAGCAGTTTTTGTATTGCATTTGTAAGCCTCAAACCTTCTTCCCACCTTCTCAGTAGCGGGAGTGGGGAGATGAACTGCTGGGGGTGGGAGGGGCAAGATGGTTTTCCGACTTCAAACTCAATTCCTAGTTGTAGGGCAGGGCGATGTATCGATACAGCGTCTGAAATCAGTTTGAAGTCCACATTGCGGTAACAGCTTAATAGTATTCAGCATGGCGATATACTGCAAATCATGATGTGTGCATGTGTGTTATGTGAAAAATAATGATAACTTCTCTCATGATTCCTGCTGCCCCTGTTGCTCTGTACCAGGGGTCAGCAAACTTTTTCAGCAGGGGGCCAGTCCACTGTCCCTCAGATCTTGTGGGGGGCCGGACTATATTTTGAAAAAAGAACGAACGAATTCCTATGCCCCACAAATAACCCAGAGATGCATTTTAAATACTCATGTAAAAACACACTGATTCCCGGACCGTCTGTGTGCTGGATTTAGAAGGTGATTGGGCCAGATCCGGCCCCCGGGCCTTAGTTTGCCTACCCATGCTCTGTACTATAAAATAACAGTTGTAACAATATGCTAAAGGCAAGTAAAATTTTATCAGTTTTAGACTCCTAAGTAGTGGCAGATGCCAGGATATTACCACATTCGCCTCTACATACTTCCATCCTTATTTCAGACATCATATGTCAGTATATTGCTATGTTTAGCTGGTGAAATATCACGATGTTGAAAATCAGATGTCGCTCAGCCCTCCTTAGAAATTTAAAAGGAGGCATTCCTACGCCCACAAGAATATCCTCTATTCATGGATAGATTATTGCTTTTACACTGGAAAGCTGCTGCATAGCAGCATTCTCATCATCAGCACCATTTTTTGGTGCCCCTGGGAATCTTCTAATGGGGTTTATCACTCTTTCCCATACACCCTGAGAAGTGCCTCGGTTTCTACATGGTGCAGTAGGACAGGGGAGCTGGAGTGTAAGTGTTCAAGTCATTGTGGTGTGGATTAATCTATCCTCAGTGGTTACATTTCAGATGTGGCTTGGTAGTGAGAAGAGAATGGTATCTTATGGAAGTATAAGGCTTTTGTATCACTACAAAGAGGGAAAATGGATGACTGAGATGCTCAGAGATATACCCAACTGTCTTTAAATAGTGTAAAAATGTATAATACCAAAACACGAATGGATAAAGTTATCAATCTACTGTTAAAACTGGCTATTTAAATAGATACTTAACACTGTAAATTGTGAGATTACAGTTTTCGTCAAACAAGCTCTATTGATTAGCAAATTGTAGTTGCTGCCTAAAAAAAAATTACAGGTGCCTGTAACAAAACAAACTTAAATGGTGTGTTCTTGTCTTGTTGTTTTTAGTCTGAAGGCACTCAAGAACCACTTGAAGTACCATCTCCCCCTTCTCCTTCACCTCCTCCTCCACCACCACCTCAAACTGATCCAAGACTAGTAGACCCCAGCATTGGATTATTAATGCCCCCGCTTCACACTCCCAATAATATTGCTGTTTTTTGTGATCACAACTATACTGTAGAGGATACAGTACACCAGAGAAAAAGAATTCAGCAGCTGGAAGAGCAGGTGGATAAGCTGAGGAAGAAGCTTAAGACTGCACAGCAGCGATGTAGACGTCAGGAGAAACAGATTGAAAAACTGAGAGAGCTTGTTCAGTTTCAGAAGGAAAAAGACGTCATCCCTGGCAAAGGTGGCTATGTGATTCTGCCTAATGACTATTTTGAAATTGTGGAAGTACCTGCCTAGAAGGTTTATGTCTATATTTATGGGGCACTGCCAAATTGAGCCTCATCAGACTAACTCAGAAGTTCATTTTAAAATGCAATGCTTTCTAGTTCTGTGTAGAAGATACTTCAGCCCTTGAGCATATTAAAAAATTGCTATATAAGAATTCTTCGTCACTGACTTTCTGGCATTTTTATTTATCAGTTGCTCAATAATGATAGTTGCAGTAATTGCAGGAGATGATCATTTCATGTGAAGGTTCAGTTTCCGGCCCCTGCATGCATTGGCAGAGCATGCATAAGTGCGTTACACCTTGCCCCCATTACACCTCTGTTCTGCCCTCTTCTGGGTCCATAACATTCTTCACTTATAGCATAGTCCTATGCATTTCTGTTCATAAGTAAGTCTCACTGTGTTCAGTGGGGCATACTCCCAGGTAAGTGTGCATAGGATTGCCGCCTTACAGAACACTCCTAAGTACAGTGGTACCTTGGGTTAAGAACTTAATTCGTTCCGGAGGTCCGTTCTTAACCTGAAACTGTTCTTAACCTGAAGCACCACTTTAGCTAATGGGGCCTCCTGCTGCCGCCGCGCTGCCGGAGCCCGATTTCTGTTCTCATCCTGAAGCAAAGTTCTTAACCCATGGTACTATTTCTGGATTAGCAGAGGCTGTAACCTGAAGCATATGTAACCTGAAGCATATGTAACCCGAGGTACCACTGTATGGTTACTCAGACATAGATCTGTTGAATTGACTGGGGCTTGCTGTTGTTGGGTGTTGTGTAGCCAACACAGAAATTTAGTCAAGCAGTTAAGCTCACCACAAGAAACCACTGCGTAGTAGAGATAGCTTTTACTTGGCAAACTCACACTATATACACACACTAGTAACAGACAATAAGTCTTTACTCTCTGAGCCCAGAGAGGGTTCATTGCTTTCACAGTCCTTGCTGTGGCCAAAGTCCACAAGGCAAGTACTAAGTCCAGTTGCTTTCAAAGTCCTGCAACTGTTAGAATTCTCTTGAGTCCAGAAGTCTTGTAAGTTGTCCAACTTCTCTCCCACAAGCTCTTCTCAAAGTCTATCACATTTCCACAGTTCCATAGATTTCTCCAATGGCCTTCACAAGTCTCCACTAATCCCCAACAGTGTGTGCCGTAATCTGACCCCTTTACATACCCAGCACTACATGCTAAACTTACCTGGTATCACAGATAAAATAGTCACAATATGCCTGCAGATGCACAATTCTGCTGACTCAAGTAAATTAAACCTTTTTTCACTTTCCTTAGCACTTACTCCCAGGGAAATGGGGTTAGGATTGAGCTGCAGTCCTGGCACAGTCAAGACTCTTGTGATTGGTGTTTAAAGGTATGATGGAACAAAGAAGAAAAGGCAGTGTCAGGTATGTAGGGGGCAAGCCATGAAGGTCAAAACCAGCTCCAGTGCCAGTAACACCTGTATTCAAATCCCTTATTTTAAGAGTGCTGCTTTAATGTGCTTTCTACAGCTTTCCCACATTAACAGATGCACTGCTACATCTGCAGCCATTTAAGTTGACCGTGTTAAGGGTAGCTCTGTGTAATGCCTAACAATCCAGCCTTGAGATTATGGAAGCATAAATGACCCATTATACCCTCAGCAGATATACAGGCTCACAGTATTTTCACTAGAGCATATCTGGAAGGCCTACCTAGCCACTGCTCCAATCTTGGAGTGCAGGTGCAAATCTGGGAGGCTGAAAGCTATGTGCAGTGGGTGTCCCTATCAAGTCATGAGACCTGCCTGCCATTACCCTCCTAAACCAGTTTAGGTTCATCTTCAGCCAGCTCAACTTCATTTGATACTCAGAGTGGAGTAGATACTTGCTAAGTTACCAGCACTGCAGGAACTGGGTTAGTTGGAAAAGGGGTGTATCCGGCTGACATCAGGACACTGAGTGACACCAAGCTAGCAGATTCATAAGCAGATTGAAAAAGGGAGGTAAGAGCGGACACCTGAGACTCTGCAGGACATTATTGGATGTAGGGAAGAAGCAGGTTGAGAGTTACCATTCTTCAGAAGCAAAAAGAAAAAATAAATTATTCCCTCGCCCTTCCAGACAGCTTGCAAAGGAAGCGAGAAAGAGACGTCCGTAGCAATAGCGTAGATCCTTTGTCCCAAAAAATTGCAGTTGTGGGGAAAGGAAGATCAAATTCCCGCCAAATGACTGAAGAGGATTCTTGCGATCTGGATTCTTCAAGTGAAGAAGATGATACCTTTTCCCATGATGACAGATCTGAACAATATGTTCCCCACAGGAAAGCAAACGTTTCTACAGGGGATAGTATAGATCGTCTGGGTGATAGATATGCACCGTGGCCTCTTCCCCAGTATGTTTGTCATTGTAAAGATGACCGGAGGGCCAGGTCTCCTCGAAGTATGAACCGCCACCCCCAGCGGCCCTGTTTCGTTCATAAACCGAGGGAAATATGCTGTGCTAGGACTGCCAGCGATGTGAATATGGATGAGGTCCTATCCTTGCTGCCAGGGCGCCAGCGGAAGACACGCCAGCAGCTTCAACGGGAAAAGGAGGCCGCCGTCACTCTCCAGTCTGCCTGGAGGGGTTGCCAAGTCAGAAAGGATATTAGCAAAATGAATAAGGCCGCCACCCAAATTCAGGCAGCTTTCCGAGGGTACATGACCCGGAAGGAATTGCCTCTGGGACTCTGCGGTTACGGCAGGACCAATCAACGAAAGTTGCAGAAGAAAACGAGAGCTGAAGACGAGAGCAAACCTTTCCCCGCACTCCTAGATTGCCTTCAGCAGTTTGGTTTGGTGTCTGGAACAAAGCCTTCTGGCCAGAGCATTTCCCTCCCAAATGGCAAGCCAAGGAACTATTCAAGAAACCTCATAGAAGACTATCCACTTTTGAATCCGAACGTCACCTTTTTTGAAATTGAGTCCACCCTCAGACCCAACAGAGAAGTGTTCACGTACACCTCTTTCAATGTCTTTGCCACGGGAATTCAGGACCAGAGATACGAGGATGCTGCCACCACAATCCAAGCAGCTTGGAGAGGGTACCAAATCAGACAGAAAGGAAGGCCTATGACAGGAGAAGAAAAAAGACCCAGAAACCCTATCTGTTCTAACTTTGCCATGAAGAAAACCCCTTGCAAACACTCATTGCCGGGGCCAGCTCTCAAGGGGCCCAAAATCCGTCAGATCTTTGTTGCAAAGGCAGACCTCCATGACACCCAAGGCACCCTCTCGCTAAGAGATGCACCGCAGATTCGAAATATTAATATATACGCAGTGATAAAGGCCATGCCAGATCCTTCCCGGAAGCCGAACATATCCATACGGGTGCTGAGCCCAAATGCTGTGGTCCAGGGATATGAGAGAGAGATGAGCAGCGGGGTGCAGGCTCTCTACACTGTCCAAAATAATAGCGCTTCAATGCCCTCTCAGATCCTCATTCATGTCAACACGCAGAAAAGAAAGGATGTTCTCTTAAAAACTGAAAAGAAGAAGCAAAAGCCCTGAGAGACCCCTCCAAGATCAAAGTGCTTAGTAAAGGCTTCTCTGAGAAACTGTGCATAGATTCAGTTTTGACTGTAGATGACACATGTGGTCATGCATTGTCCATCTATACAGGCAGAGGGCCTTCTCGGTGGTGGCTCCCGCCCTGTGGAATGCCCTCCCATCAGATGTCAAGGAAATAAACAACTATCTGGCTTTCAGAAGACATCTGAAGGCAGCCCTCTTTAGGGAAGGCAGCCCTGTTTAGGAAAGCTTTTAATGTGTTTGACGTTTTATTGTGCTTTTAATATTCTGTTGGGAGTCGCCCAGAGTGGCTGGGGAAACCCAGCCAGATGGGCGAGGTATAAATAATAAATTATTATTATAAATTATTATTATTATTATATAGAATGCATGGGCTTTGGGGGCTTGCAGAACTTCATTGCGGAAAAAGGTGGTACCCAACGTTCAGCCTTTTTTTAAAAAAAAGAAAATTAGATTTAAAAAGACAGGAAAACTGCAAACTAGCCCATTTTCATCACTAAGGTCCTTTCCATAATTTACATGGTGAAAATCCTGAATTTGCCATCACATGTGCACTAGATAGGGAACTGCAGCCAATCCTGCCTTTGGTGAGTGTCTTCAATACAAGCAAAATACACATATTAGGATAAAATGTGTATTAAATTGCATATATTTGTGAAAATAGCATACAAAATGCACATTCCAAGGGAAAATTAGTCTGCAAAAATGCGTATGTTAGGTAAAATTGCTTGCAAACATGTGTACATTAGAGAACCTTGCACTACAATGCTTCTGAATTTTCACGAGGACTTTAAAAAAATAAAATAAAAAGAAAGCTGATGTGGAAATGAGGAGAAAATTCAGTCTTGCCTGTTGGATCAGCTTCTTTACATGGAAAGGTGAAGGTGCACCGCCTAGTCTTTTGGCTCATGCAGCAAAACACATTGGACCAACCCTGACAACATGCCAAATAAGACTTTCTGGTAAGATAGGAACCATTAGGAATCAGTGCTGCGTTTGTTCTGTGTTCTTGAGATCACCAAAGGATGCTGCTGCTGCACTTTTTTCTAAGCTCCACTAGATGTCCCCATCTTCTTTTCTAGCAGTGACTATGCTAAAGCTTTGCTGTTGTTGCAGAATTCTCTCACCACTCTCCTCTCACCAAAAAGGAAACTTTGTGCCGTAATAAATTAGTTAGGTTTTAAAGTAAAAGTGGACTTTGGCTTGAGCAGAAGAGGTTACACTATAAAAAGTAAAGGTAAAGGGACCCCTGACCATTAGGTCCAGTCGTGGCCGACTCTGGGTTTGCAGCGCTCATCTCGCTTTATTGGCCGAGGGAGCCAGCGTACAGCTTCCGGGTCATGTGGCCAGCATGACTAAGCCGCTTCTGGCGAACCAGAGCAGTGCACGGAAATGCCGTTTACCTTTCCGCCGGAGCGGTACCTATTTATCTACTTGCACTTTGACGTGCTTTCGAACTGCTAGGTTGGCAGGAGCAGGGACCGGGCAACGGGAGCTCACCCCGTCACGGGGATTCGAACCACCGACCTTCTGATTGGCAAGTCCTAGGCTCTGTGGTTTAACCCACAGCGCCACCCGCATCCCTAGACTGTAGTGTATAACTGGAAGAAAAAATGAATAGGGGAACACAGAGAAACACTTTTTGTCATTTCATTTCACTTTTAATTTGTATACCGCCTTTTCTATTTTACAAGGCAGTTTACAAGCTGAAAAAACAAAATAGTCAGCAAAAATCACACACGTAATAGCAATCTGATCCAATACAAAAAAGTCGCAATAACTTTAAAATAAACAACTCGCCGTATATCAAATAAAGCAATATTCAAAAAGCTATAAATCAATATTTAATAATCCATTAGCATTATTCAACAATCCATTAGAATATAATAGTAAACAAATAAGATGGGAAAAGAGATGCAAGCATGTGAACAAATAACAGGCAAACAAGGAGCCAAGGAAGGCATGGTTTGGGGGTTGATTGATGACAAGAGGTATTGCGACATGATTCCTGCACTTGTGTTATGAGAAAAAACTGCTCCTTTTCCCTTATGGGGTACCCAAGAGCCCATATAGAGTCCTTTTGTAGGTTCTCTATCAGTAGGAGAAAATAACAGAGGCCAACCAGAGAATATTGAGAAGCAAAGCAGCTAGTAAGCCTGATCTTTATTAAAGCTGTTGCAACAAGGTGCTCCCCCCCCCCCACAGGGGCTGGGACGACCCAGGACAAAGGTGTGCAAGCCCTTATATAGACATTTTAAATTGCCCGACCTGGAGTCCAAGATCACCCCTAGAAACATCATACATACATCAGAGAAGGGGCGGACTACAACAGAAATCTGAGTGCCTTGTTTTTCTCCTGCCTGCTAGGTTGCTTGATTGGATTACCTGGGCATCCTGGTCACTCTTTTGTTACTCAGTTCCTGAATACAGGTCACAGGCTCACACCCTATTCATATCTTAAATGTGCCCTTAAGACAGGATTTGTGAAAAAAACAATGGGGATATTTTCCATTTCCTTTGGCCTTGCAAAGAAATATTTGAGGTCATTTTGGGAGAGAGAGAATGGTTTCAAGACTTTTCTGTGGGTTTCAGGCATGCGGTTTACATATTTGTATGTGTTTGCTTGGTACATTTATGAACATCTATTATATATATATATATAAGACCTTCAAATTCTTATAACAAGGGAGAGGCAGTATCTACAGGTGCTCTCCCCCCTCCAAAACAAGCTTCGCCTCTCCTACACAAGTATGAAAGGAAAAGAAAGCAACATTGCTAGGTGTATGGAGAATTATTATATATAATGCAGGGCCTCTGCATGAGGTACCAAGACCTGTATATGCTGGCTGCCCTGAGGTGAGCAGGAGTTGCGAGCGTGGCTGGCAAGTCTCAGAGAAAAGGGGTGGCGAGTGCAAAGAGGAGCTTGGAGTGGCTGGGGACAGGGCAGATTTCTCTTTCTGGCATGGCTCTTGCCCCAGGCAGCGGTGGTTTGCCAGCCTCTTCAGCAGTGGTACCGACAACTGCAGCAGTGGGGGGGGGGTAGGGCTTTCTGTTTTGTTCCTCTGTGTCGGGTGTAGCCAATGCCTCCAGATGTTTCCAGCCTACAACCCCCCCAAGCTCCATTAACGTGTGACCCCGAAATTTTGCTTTCCCCCAAAGTGATGCCAAAATTTAGTTTGGCACAAAACTATACCCATATGGATGGGGTATTATTATTATTATTAAATAAACATTATACCTCACTCATCTATGCCCTTTACACATGATGAGATCCTTCTAGAAAGGTTGTCCTAGGATGGAGAGACTGTTCTGCGTCTCTTTCCATCTCTATGCAGGCCAAACATTAGCTTTCTTCGTTTATTTTCTTCTACCGAGCAGCTTTGCCTAAAACCAGAGGTTCTGCCATCATCTCACGTGAGCCGAGCACACATACACATGTCTGTGTTATCTCCTGTCACGTCCTATTCCGTACTCAGCAAACGGGCAGACTCTGGATGTCAGGCCCATGTAGACGGCGCGTGTGAGATCTGTTGAGAGAGCTCTGCCACCAGAAGGCCAACTGTTAACTGCTACAAGATTATGAGCAGTCAGTGCTGTCAAGCCGAATTTGGGGTTAGGCCAACGGTTCGGAGAGTCTGTCGAAACATTCCCCTGACGCAGAGTCCTGCTAATCGCCACAGGGACAGAAAAGTCCAAAATTTAGTTGCGGTTCCGTTTCTGTCCTTGTCATTCCCTTTTCTGTGTAAAAAGAGAACAGAAGGTTTGAGAGGATCTGATCTGCTGTTTGTAATAAGTGCAGCCCCAGCTTGCTCTCCTGTCCATCCTCTAGTGGAGGGGTGGGGGAGATTGTGCCCACCTCCCGCCCATCATCTCCAGCAGTCCTGGCCAATAGGGATGGGAAGACCCTTTCCAACCTGACAAAATTGCAGGAGGCCACTTGCTTGTGACGGGAGCAGTGCATACAATGTGGCAAAGGTTGCACCCCCCCAATCTCTGCCAAGGGAGCTGGGCATGTTTAGCCTGGAGAAGAGGAGGTTAAGGGGTGATATGATAGCCATGTTCAAATATATAAAAGGATGTCTGTCACGTAGAGGAGGGAGAAAGGTTGTTTTCTGCTGCTCCAGAGAAGCGGACACGGAGCAATGGATCCAAACTACAAGAAAGAAGATTCCACCTAAACATTAGGAAGAACTTCCTGACAGTAAGAGCTGTTCGACAGTGGAACTTGCTGCCAAGGAGTGTGGTGGAGTCTCCTTCTTTGGAGGTCTTTAAGCAGAGGCTTGACGACCATATGTCAGGAGTGCTCTGATGGTGTTTCCTGCTTGGCAGGGGGTTGGACCCGATGGCGCTTGTGGTCTCTTCCAACTCTATGATTCTATAAATTTCCAGGGGGTCCCTGGTGCTTACCCATTGTTGTGTTTCCACAGGGAAAATCGAGGCACAGCAGAGGCTATTGTCTTTAAGAAAGATAGTTATTGTACACACATTTACGCCTGGAGTCTTTATTAACTTGAAGTTCCCCATGCCTGAAGTTCCCCATTCCTGTTGTAGTTGAACAACATCTACATAGCCGCAGGCTCCCCATCCCTGCTCTGATTGGTGGCAGCTTTTCATTTTGGGGTAATAGCCTTCTCTTGTGATCAGCTAGGGGGGCTGCTCCTTTAAATGAGCTCGTGAAAAGTGTGTGCTTTTGATCAGAACAACTCAGAGCAAATCCTCATTTGTGCCAAATTCTAAAAGGGCCACCATATAACTCTGTTGATAAAACTTTGTTTCAGTGACAGGGGAAGTAAAAAAGAAAGAAAGAAGAGTTTGACAAGAAGATGAGTAGATATTTTTGGTCTATAGGGGTGAAAGGGGAGCAATAAACCTTCATTTTAAAGAGATTTGCACAAGACCATCAAACGTAAAGCACTGTTTCCCTGAGAACAGTACAGAAGGTCATGCCAAGAACACAATGATATTTTTATAGCTCTAGCTGGAAAGAAAGCAAAGGCAAACCCAACTATTTTTGTTATTAACATTTTTATTGAATTTCAAACAGGAGATTAACATAAATTTCTACAGTTTTATCAGAAAAAAGCAGCAGTGCTATTATCTCCTCAGTGTACAGAGCCTCCCTCTGCATACTGAGGGTTGACAAAACCCCCTACTGAGTATAATTAAGGGGAAGAGGCGAGGAACATTGAACCCAAGAAGAAAAGAAAACACAACAAGAAAAGGTGTGTGTGCATGATGGAGCGGGGGCAGGGGCCTTTTTTTTGCCAAATGAGCAAGATCAAGCAAAAGATTAAAGCTCAGTTAAAGAACATTTCTGGAAATAGTTGCCAAATGTGTTGAAGTTTATATTCCCAAATATTACTCCTGTGCCACATAACATGTTACCGTATTTAGTGGGCAAAGCTAAAAAAAGTCATCAACTGCAACCCATTCTTCAATTGCAAGTGAGAATGGCGAGTTCCAAAGTGCAACAGTAGAGTTTGTTTCACAGGTAGTGAGGTTAGCAAATGAAAGCCTTTTGGAATGTCTGAATGACTGGGGTGTGTCTTAGAATGAGTTGACTGAAGGAGAATTCCACCTTCAAAGAAACTATCGCTGGCTTCGGACCAATTATTGGGAATCTGTGACTCAACTGCTCTACCATCTTCACTGGTTCATGGTTCATGTCTGGGGGCAGTTCAAAGTGCTGGTTATTAGATTTACACAACAATGTTCTGCATGTTTGCCAAAGGGGTTTACCCCCAGGTAACTGGATATATGATTGCAGCTTCAACACTGCCTCTGCCTCTTCTCTGAAATGATTGGAAGACAGACCTTGTTGCACGTCCTAATACAGTGGTACCTCGGGTTAAGAACTTAATTTGCTCTGGAGGTCCATTCTTAACCTGAAACTGTTCTTAACCTGAGGTACCGCTTTAGCTAATGGGGCCTCCCGCTATTGCCGTCCCCCCATGGCACCGCTGCCGTGCGATTTCTGTTCTCATCCTGAGGTAAAGTTCTTAACCGGAGGTACTATTTCTGGGTTAGTGGAGTCTGTAACCTGAAGCGTCTGTAACCCGAGGTACCACTGTACCTGAATTTCTATAGGAAAAATGTGCACTAAAGCTTTCACTGTTATGCCACCGGTGCCAGATATAGGAGGTGCTAGGTGCTCCAGCCCCCTCAATATTTTGAATCAGGGGCCCTGAGAGCCAGTGTGGTGTAGTGGTTAAGAGTGGAAGTCTCGTAATCTGGGGAACCAGGTTCGCGTCTCCACTCCTCCACATGTATCTGCTGGGTGACCATGGGCCAGTCACACTTCTTTGAAGTCTCTCAGCCCCACTCACCTCACAGAGTGTTTGTTGTGGGGGAGGAAGGGAAAGGAGAATGTTAGCCGCTTTGAGACTCCTTAAAGGGAGTGAAAGGCGGGATATCAAATCCAAACTCCTCCTCCTCCTCCTCCTCCTCTTCTTCTTCTTCTTCTTCTTCTTCTTCTTCTTCTTCTTCTTCTTCTCTCCCCCCATATTGAGGGGGCCAACATCACCCATCACCACCAGTTGTCCTCTGGGTGCCCAAGCCCCCACCTGGGAGCTGAGAGGGGACTGGGATGAACGAGGATGAAGATTGCCCTCTGCACATCCCCCCCCCCGACGCATGCCATGGGGAGGAGGCACTCCACCTCCTTCTCCCCACAGCATGTCCCACTGGGGCAGATGCGTCATGTGGCATCACATAACGAGTCATGTGATTAGCCCCCCCAACATGGTGGGCAAGTTGGTGCCTTTGTACTGTGCCCAGGCTTTGGAGTGATCCACTCCACAAGATCCTCTGCATTCTCTTTCTGTTGGCGTTAAATGACAACAGCAGGTGGAACAAATCCTGCTCTAATAGTGAAGCAGAGTTGTGGGGAGGCCCCCGCAAGGCAGCGATGATCATGGTATGAAAACCGGGATTATTACAAGCATGCCTCTCTCTTTCATCTGTGAAATGCTAATTAGTTATTAATTGAATGTTACAGATTATGATTGTTGGGGCCCTATTCACAGGCCTCTTTGGCAACAACTGCTTGTGATGATGACCCTGAAGCCAATTGCCTGCCTCCTCAGGGCCCTTGAAGCTGAGAGCAAGAGGGGAATTTCCCATTGTGCTGCCTGAGGAAGAGAAGGAAGATGTGACCACACTCTGAACCTGGGAGTGGTGGCTTAGAATTTTCATCTCCGCAGTCAGAATCAGTGCATCTACCATGCAAAGTCATTTCCTCCCTTAGAAGCCCCACTGGACATAGCAGAGGGCATCCATTGGTACCACAACAAACATACATTACCCAAAACATTGCTTGAGGGGTGGGCCTTTGGCTGTCACACAGCCCTACATGGCAATGTTAGGGCTCACTTTAGTGCTGGACTTTATTGGACGGATACCTGCCTTTCCTAGGAACACCCCCAGATCCTACAGAGTCTGACCCTTCCTTTGTTATCTGAAAGCTAGCTCCGGATACCTGTTCCCCTGGACTACTATTCCCATCATCCCTCACTTTTGGAAATGCGTTGATGGGATTTGGAGTCCAACAACGTCCGCAGGGCCACGGCTCCCCCATCTCCATGCTAGAAGTCTTAGTCTGTTTTGCCATCAAGGGCATCACACTTTACGATTCCCATAGAACAGGGGTGTGCTGCAGTGAGCGTATTTGAACAGCTGGAGGAGCACTTCCCATTACTTATCAAATGGCAAAGAGATTACGACCAGACATTTATGGAATTCAAATTGGGTTCTAAGTTGCTTGGTTCTGTCCTAGGTGTTCTTTGAATTTAGCTTTCAACAGTACCTTGGTTATCCTGGATAAGCAACGAGGCAGAGTTTAGGACCCAGGGATTATTCTTATTTTTGGCTTGCAGCCTGTGACAGCTGACCGAAAATCAATGAAGTGTACTTTAAGAAGCTTCGCTGTGGTGCAAGATAAGGCTCAAATGCTATTCTTCCTGTTTCCAGCCTATTAGCCATCACAGTTTACAGTAGAATCATTGTGTCTAAACTCGTATCTTTGGATGGAAGTTGTTTGCCTATGAAAAGCAAGAGATTCAGCTGCAGATGTGGTTGCGAGGATGGAGCTTCCTGCTTTTATTATAGTGTCCCTCCTTCTTTGTACTAACAGTTCAGGTAAGTGCAATTTATTCAAATTAAACATAAGTGCTTGAACTGAGACTGCTTGCAATAACAGAGAGATGCATCTTAGGTTCTAAAATTAAACCACTGCCTTGTGTTCTTTAAGCGTGTTTCAAATACTTTTGTTTGTGTTTGTCTGTATTAAGCAAAGGACCTGGAAAGGAGAAAGAAAAAAAAAAAAGCTGCACTGGTTAGCCAGTGACTCATCTTAGTATTGCCATCTTCTGGTCAACAACCTTGTCTTTGAGAAGACTTCAGTAATTAAGTGAAATTATGATGATCACCGTAAGAAATAACAAATGCAAATGTTGTTATTTCGCACAGGTAGTACACATAGTGCATTACAGAGAAACATGAGCAGAAGGCAGGTCTCTGCCTGAATGAGCTTACACACTAAATTTAGATGAAAGGGAAAGGAGGAGGTGGAGCAAGGGCAATAAGGGACAGGGGTGCCAACTTGAATTAAAATATTGGGGGAGGGGCAGGTAAGCCCCGCCCTACATAATTGGTCACATGATGCGGTGCATGCAACCATTTGAATGGTAATAGCCATTAGTGGGGTGGGGGACTCAAAATATTTTATTGGGGTGGCTTAAGATCCCTCGGCTCCTAGGAGTTGGCTCCTATGATAAGAGATAAATGGAAACAAATGCTACTTCTTTCTCAAAGTGCCAAATTGATTAGATAGCATGTGTGAGAGAGGTTTCTTGTTGCTGTTAAATGGAAATACTAGCTTTTACTAAAAAAAACCTTTTAGTGGGAACTGCAAAAGAATGTAAGTACCATTTGTCTTTTTTACAGAATGCCCATTATTCATGTTCGTACTAAATGGACATTCATTTCACCAGCCATTCCACGGCCTTTTCTATTTGCTTTTCATTTCTCTCCCTGTCACCTTCTCCACCCCAGAGCTCCAATGGCTCTTTCCCCAAAGTCTGGAAGGTGATAATATTGTTTGCCAATCCCATATGAATGGGGCAGCCTTTTCCAGGTTCAGTTTCCATATGAGGAGAAAGTACTGGAGGCTTCTAGGGTAATCCTGTGTGAGTTTACTGGGAATTAAATCCCATTATCTCTAACACAACTTACTTTCACGTAATTGTTCCTAGGATTCCAATCGTATGGTGTTTTGGTAGTACCTGTTTGTTACCTTTCGTTTCTAAAATTTGCTTCCTGTCATATGTATCTAAAAGAATCTTCTGTGTGATTTAAAACATATACACATTCAAACCCCAGAAAAAAACAGAAGAACAATATATTTACCAATGTACGGGCTGAGAAGGCAGGAAGCAAGCAAACTGTGCTAATTCTGAGGCAGCCTCAGAAACCTGTCTTTGCAGCCTTTTCAAGCTGGCTAATAATAATACTTAGCAGCTATATCTTTGAGTATTCCAAGCATTTCACATACATTATTTCTGTAATCCTTAAAGCAAACCAGTAAATGAGCCATTTGGTGTTATTGTCCTGCTTTGCCAGTTGTGCGAGGGACTCAGATTGAGAGGTCATGGTTTCCCTAAGGCCACATAGTGACTAGTGTGGTCATGGCGGAGTTAAGATGTGAACTGCAGGAGCAATCTCTGCAAATCCCAAATATAGTCAACAATTTGCACCGTTGTGGATGCATTTTTACACCTGGGAAAGAATTTTCGTAGTTTCAGTTGTGTGAAAACACAGCCCAATAAAATAGGGCCTTGTGGGAAATCCACCATGGACAAGTGTTGTTTCAAAAGTCTTGTATTCCTCCCTGCAGACTTGGTGTGAATATATGCCCTGTCTCTGTGTAGAGTGGTACCTCTGGTTATGAACTTAATTCGTTCTGGAGGTCTGTTCTTAACCTGAAACTGTTCTTAATCTGAGGTACCACTTTAGCTAATGGGGCCTCCTGCTGCTTCCATGCCACCGCCGTGCAATTTCTGTTTTCATCCTGAGGTAAAGTTCTTAACCTGAGGTACTATTTCTGGGTTAGCGGAGTCTGTAACCTGAAGCATCTGTAACCTGAAGCGTCTGTAACCCGAGGTACCACTGTAGATCTTAAAAAACAGAACAAAACACAGAATTCATGGACTTGTCCTCATACATGCACATGGATTCTGGTGTAGGAGTACCACAGGAGGCGGGAGCGGAGGAAGGGGGTGCGGTGGGGGTGGACCGCCCTGGGTGTCTTCGCTGAGGGGGGTGACATTTGGCGCACCACCCGCCCGCGACTCCCAAGCCTACCCCAAGCCATTGGGGGAAGGTGGGAGCTGCGCCGCTTTGCCAGTGGATTTTCCCCCTTCCTCCTTCGTTTTGACAGCTCGGGGGAGGCTTGGGAGTCACGGGTAGGCGGTGCACCAAATGTCCGGCATTGGCAGCTTGCTCCGCCCCATGGGCGGCGCTCTCCGCCCCTGGCTGCAGGGCACACACACTGCTCCGTGCACCCAAGCGGCTATCCCACGCTTGGGAGGGCACCCTCCCCACCCCCCTCGGGAGCGCGCCCGCCCTGGGCAGCGCAGGCATATGCTCCGCCGCTGATAGGAGGTTAATGTTTTGACAAAGACCCAATTTATACATGTACAACGTGTATGTGGACTTTTAATATGCAGTTGTTTGCAAAATTCCTGGAGGCTAAAGTCCTTCCATGGATGGTCAAGTTGCTATCATACAGCACAATCCAAATCATGCTAAGAGGAATAAGTCCTATTGAATTCAGTGGGGCTTACTCCCAGGTAACTGGGGTTAAAATTGCAGCCTTAGATTCCAGTTGAGGGGCAGAATTCAGACAGCCACTACTGAATATCTGTTCTGGACACATTAATGACTAAAGTATGAAGTAGGAAACATTTAAAGGGAATTTATTTTTATTAGTTCTCTACTTTTATGCCTCATAATTACCACAGCAATGTTATCAGCACAATACATTCACCTTCATTTCCTTAAGCTGAGGAATTTGTGCCTTTTGACCTATTTTTTTCATCTATCTATCATCTATCTATATCTATATCTATCTATCTATCTATCTATCTATCTATCATCTATCTCTATCTATCTATCTATCTATCTATCTATCTATCATCTATCATCTATCTATCTATCTATCTATCTATCATCTATCTATCTATCTATCTATCTATCTATCTATCATCTATCTATCTATCTATCTATCATCTATCTATCTATCTATATCTATCATCATCTCTCTATCTATCTCTATCTAATCTATCTATCTATCTATCTATCTATCTATCTATCTATCATCTATCATCTATCTATCTATTTGCAGCCATCACATTAAATGTCATTATTCAAACAAATTTTCTCATTTTATACAGCTTAGGAGATTAGTTTTCCCTCTCCTCCCTGACCTCCCACATTTTTCTTTCCCCATAGCCAACTGTATTCACTTTTTGGGGTCATAGCAATCTAGATAGTACTTACACAGCTGGTTATACTTTCCAGGCTATTATCCCTGTAAAGAATAGGATGCCAGTCGCTAGACCCAGCATTTATTGTTTAAAATGTGGAGTATTGCCTTCCAGCAAAACCCCCAATATCAATCTTTTTGCTCATCCGTGAATTATGTAGGTCTTGTGAGTTGTCCAGTTATAAAAGTGCTCCTTGAGGGGACTGGAGGCAAAGGAAGATGGAACGCCTGTACTAAGTGAATGGTTATATGGGAGTCAGTGGAGCATTGCCCATTAGGGTAAGTGGGACGCTGTCCCACCAAACTCAGGCATGAGTCCTCCAAGCCTTCTTTCTCACAGCTAGGGACATCAGAGAATTATGATGACAATGGAAGATGGTGGCAGATGGTTTCATTTCTAAACCGCTTTATATTTTAAAGAGAAAATCTCAAAGTGGTTTACAACACATTAAAACATCAAATAAAACAATCTTGGGGGGGATTACTGAATAAAGTAAAAGATGAATTGCAGATTTAAAACAGCATAATTAGCAAGAGAATGAAATATTATCTGAAGCGTAGAACACATCTGCTGCTGTTGCTGCCAATCCTGTTCTTGGTGGGTGGCAGCTGTGGAAGTTGAGGCTTGATGATCTAGATCTGCGCTAAGAGACAACCAAGATGATCTCTGGAGTCTTCAGCAGCCTAGCTTTTTTAGTTGGAGTCAGTCAGGGCCCTGCCCTCCCAGGCCAGGCGGAAAAGGCCGGCAAGGCAGGGAGCAGGTTTTCTAAGATTCACAGCCAAGATGTTCACTTATTTGTCCCATGTCTGCACCAGCATCAGTCTGGAGAATAAAACCCATATTCACTGTTGTTGTTATTTTCAGTCCACAGTGGACAGTGAGATGAAGGTAAACTGCAGCAGAATGGAAACAGTGCTGTATGTGCTAAAGACAGGATGGAGAACAATGCCTTCTTACACCCCTACTTTACAACCAGTCCAGAGAATGGCACTGGCTGGCTGTCAGCTTCCTCCTCCTTAGTCTCAGTGTGGTCTTTGTAGAAATCACCAGGGAGGAGAAAAATAGAATTAGTTGGCTCTGTCTGTCATTGGCTCTGGCTGCGCCCTACCAGTCTCAATGGGCACCCAACATCACTGGTAAAAGGGAATTTTGGCAAGTGCAGATTGTCATACAAGGTGTGAAGAGCCGCATCTGCCAAATTTTTATACTCTGTTGTGTTGTTAAAGTTTTGGGAGTTCTGGTCTCCTGGTTGGCTTAGTGTGGCTGAAACATAGGGATGGGGTAATCCTAACTATTAGGTAAAGGGTAAAGGGACCCCTGACCATTAGGTCCAGTCATGACCGACTCTGGGGTTGCGGTGCTCATCTCGCTTTATTGGCTGAGGGAGCCGGCGTACAACTTCCGGGTCATGTGGCCAGCATGACTAAGCAGCTTCTGGTGAACCAGAGCAGCAAACGGAAACGCTGTTTACCTTCCCGCCAGACTGGTACCTATTTATCTACTTGCACTTTGACGTGCTTTCGAACTGCTAGGTTGGCAGGAGCAGGGACCGAGCAATGGGAGCTCACCCCATTGCGGGGATTCGAACCACCAATCTTCTGATCGGCAAGCCCTAGGCTCTGTGGTTTAACCCACAGCGCCACCTGGGTCCATAATAGTTAATCCTAACTATTAGCCTCTTTTTAAAAAGTGCTTCTTGTTGGGGACAGCAAAAAACAAACAAACAGCATGTTTTGGAAAATAATTCTAAGAAAACACATCAAAATGCTACCTTTCTTGACTACATCCAGATCTTCCTTTATATATAGATCTTCAGCACAGGCTCATCTATTTTAGCTCCATCCAAGTGAGCTGTTATTCTGAATTCTGCATCGTCCTGGGTTTCCCTATGATTAGTGATAAAATTGAGCACATATTTAAATTGTCCTTTGCCAGCCTGCCCATCCGCTGAAGTCTCACATGGCAGAATATTTACCATTAAAGTTAGCACTGAATATCCCACCCCACCACCCTACCGTTCTTCCAGTAATTCTTAGTTTTGTCTTTCAGCTTTTACTGTGTTCAGCTCATTTGCCGAGAATGAAGATGCACTTTTGCGGCACTTATTTCAAGGGTATCAGAAATGGATCAGGCCTGTGAAACATGCCAATGATACCATAAAGGTGTACTTTGGATTAAAGATATCCCAACTAGTAGATGTGGTATGTAATCTATTTCTCTGGGTCCTCCTTTCCTTCCTTTCCTTCTATAGAGCAGTTCTGCTACATTTTAAGAATAAAACAATTACCACCCAAAAATCCTTTGGGCTTTCGGAAACAAAATGGGAATAGGGATGTGGAAATATGTCACACACATTTTCTTTTGAAAAAAACTTACTCATACTGTACATAGTGTGCCCACAGTCAGTTAATATGTGATCAGATTATCCTCAGATCAGGAAAATCTGAATTGAATGTAGTAAAAGTGTGGTCTACCAGTTGGATGAGGACGTCATGTGGACAGCATAAAAAAGAGAGGGATGCAAGCAGTTTCAAATCCACATTAAACTCCCATGTGAATGTGAATAAGTCAATCCAGGGGCTAATCTATACTGGTGAGTTATAACGTTATAAATGCCTTATAAAAATGTGACATCAGGGGGTGCTGTACAGCAGTCAATGGAAAATTGCATTGAGAGCTATATAACTTTTTTCTTAGTGTTTTTTAGCTTAGTGTAGATCCAGCCCTTAGGTTATCTGTTTAACACAGGGACTGTCCTGGAAAGTGGAAAACTCTGAAATGGTTGCAGACTCTTTATTCTTGGAGAATGCTGGGAGGTTGTTGTTGTTCTTCAGAAGAATAAATGATTTCTGCTTCTTTCCCTCTCCACAGGATGAAAAGAATCAGCTGATGACAACTAATGTATGGCTGAAACAGGTAAAATATTTGACAACGCAGTCAGTGTAAATGTTCATCATTGTCAGCAAATTTTTACAGTAAATGTTCTACTGTGATGTGGAGAGGGAGGTTCTTGAATTAAGCTATCTTACATCCCAGATACTATGGCCTAACTGGGTTACAACTTCAGGGCAATGCTGATTAATGGTCTCTATAGGCGATAAATCTATTGCACTTGCAAGGCCGGCCCACACATGAGGCAAGATGAGGCAACTGCCTGAGGCAGTAGGATCCACAGGGGTAGCAGACCCCGATATAGAACTTCACTCCTTCTTTGTTCCTGGTATAGATATTCACTCACCTCTTCTTCCTTGCTGGGAACACCATTTTGTTGTGCACCTCAGGTGTCAAAATGTCTTGGCCTAGCTTTGTGCACTTGTATTACAAAATGGGGAGGGGAATCGATTGTCTAGTAAACAGCAGTTTTCAAAATATGGAGTCTGAAGTGGCACAAAAAAGAGTTCTCCTGTCAGCTAGCCCACCACAGCAGATAATTCCCTTCAACATCCAGTCTCAGGGTAGTCTGACCTGAGGGAGCCAGCTGTGCATTTCAGTCTTCTAGAATACATAGAGATGTTTGCAGAAGTTCTGTGGCAGACAAGCTGATGCAGAAAGGGTTCTCTGAAGGAAGACTTTGGGGGAAGCCATGACTGTTGATAGTGATATGATACTGCTTTAAATGCACATTGCAGATGAGGCCCCAGTCTAGAGGAAGGGAAGAGGCACCCCTAAAAAGTTAGAGTGTGATCAAGGGAGAGATGTCAGCAACTGGCTTTTATATGGAAGCTGTTTCCTTGGGACCGGGTAAATAGAAAGCATTGGAGCATATACATGATTTCTTCAGGATAACTCGGAGTTTGCTATGGGAAGACATATGGTGTTGTGCTATGTTTATTAACACTTCATCTCCTCAGCTGTTTTTTCTTTTTTTAAAAGAAAAGCTAATGCCTAGGGACAGATTGAGTTTATTAGTTGAGGTTTGTTTTTTTAATAAACACACACACACACACACACACACACACACACACACACGTGTATTTGTTAATATTATAAGTTTTGTTTAGCTTATTATTACATGGCTGTTTACATTTGGTTAATATCTAGTAATTGTGAGTTTTCCCGACGTGTTTTACGGTGTAAGCTTTTTCCTGATATCGTGAGCAATTTGAGCATGGTTTACAGTGGAAAAGAAGGTCATACTGATTTGAGATGGCCTGGATGTGTTGCATTCAGGAAGTTTTAAATGTTTGATGTTTTATTAAGTTGTTATATGTGGTGGAAGCCACCCAGAGTGGTTGGGGCATGATGATGATGATGATGGCATAGTGAATCAGTGGTGGACTTTGGGCTTTGAAATGTCAGTGGTGGCCTGTGCAACACCAAAATTTGATGGACCCCTGCCTCCTCTCACCTCCTGTTGTTCATCATTGTTGCTGTGTCCCCTGCAGTGACCTCTCAGCTTGGCGCCCAGTGCAGGCAAACTGCTCATGCTCCCTTAAATTCCCCTCTGAATGTACCTCGTACCTATGGGACCACCTCTCCTGGTATGTTCCACGGAGGACCTTACGGTCTTCAAATAAAAACATCTTGGAGATCCTGGGCCACAGGAAGGTTAGGCTGGCCTCAACCAGAGCCAGGGCTTTTTCGGCTGTGGCCCTGATCTGGTGGAACGCTCTGTCACAAGAGACTAGGGCCCTGCGGGTCTTGACATCTTTCCGCAGGGCCTGCAAGACAGAGCTGTTCCACCAGGCCTTTGGCCAAGGCACAGTCTGACCCCTTCTCTACTTCTGTAATCTAGCCCAATGGTTGCCATTAATTTGATTCTGAATTGATTTTAGAATGTATTTAAATTAATTGACTGTGATTTTATGTAAACTGTGCTATTTTTACTGTTGTTAGCTGCTCTGAGCCGGCTTTGGCTAGGGAGGGCGGGATATAAATACAGTGGTACCTCAGGTTAAGTACTTAATTCGTTCCGGACGTCCGTACTTAACCTGAAACTGTTCTTAACCTGAAGCACCACTTTAGCTAATGGGGCCTCCTGCTGCTGCCACGCCACCGGAGCATGATTTCTGTTCTCATCCTGAAGCAAAGTTCTTAACCTGAAGCACTATTTCTGGGTTAGCAGAGTATGTAACCTGAAGTGTATGTAACCTGAAGCATATGTAACCCGAAGTACCACTGTAAAATATTATTATTATTATTAGTAGTAGTAGTAGTAGTAGTAGTAGTAGTGCACTGTCCCCTTAAGTCTAAGCCAGTCACCACTCTCTCCCTCTTCTCATATCTTAGGGTAGGTGTGGGGAATCTTTGGCTCCCCAGATGTTGCCGAACTACAATCCCATCACTCCTGGTCATTGGTCATACTCTCATCACCCCCATGAAGCATGGCCAATGGCCAGGAATAATAGGATTATAGTTCGGCAACATCTTGAGAGCCAAAGGTTCCCTGCACCTGCCATAGGGCAATCTGTAGCAGTCCTTGGGCAGTATGATCCAGCCAGGAAGCTGTGTAGAAAACTACTTAATCAAATCAGTTGAGTTTTGCCATCAGCTTAAATTCTTTTAAAAGGTTCAGCAGAGAACTCGCTGGTGTGACCACGCTGCAGTGACCACGCTGGTTCCTGTCAGCCAAAAATATATCTCTGTGGGCTGAAACCCCTTCCCTGTGCACAACTTGGTGTGGGGAGGGAAAGATCTGCTGAAGCAACAGCCTTCTTTCTGCCTTGCACCATTTTGGATATATCCCACCAGGACTGTGAAACAGGGCCAGAGCCATGGAGTAGAGGGAAGAGCTATAGTGTCCTGTTCTTCACAAGGACTTGTCAATCCCCGTCCTTGAATTTTCAGCTCTCATTTTGGAAATTTCACTCATCCTTTCATGTATGGCGATTTAAGAAAAACAATCAGTCACACAGGAACTATTCTACAATCACCCAGAGGCTCAGTTAAGACATCAATGTCTTAACTCCTGCCCTCCAATTTCCAGGTAAATGAGTGGTGGTGACTGAGAAACACTTGGCACTTTCAAATGTTAACATTTGAATTATTCGTATTTAACTGTCAGGGAACTGCCATCAGTGCCGGAGGGAGAGAGCAAAATCCAGAGGGATTCCAGAGAGCATCCCGGGATTGGGAGAGGCAGCCCATCTTCCGGGGAAGAGAATCAGCGTAGCACCAGTGGAGAAGGGGGGCAGATGGGGGAAGGGGCGAGGCGGTCCCATGACTCCTTGCTGGGGATCAGCGGGGAGAGTAGGGGTCCTCCGCTGCCTACGCCTTCCTTGCGCAGAAGGCTTTCGCGCAGAGAGAGTAGGAGGAGACTAGGCATCAAAGAGCTTCTTTGCTGGAAGAAGTTTAAGAAACGCCCACTGACGGATTCTGCCAGCGATTGAGACAGCCACGGGTGAGTGGCTGTCCGGACAGAAAAGGTTCACTCAGGCAACCCAGCCAGGTGTTTGCACCGGCTTACGCACGAGCAACCCCTAGAACCACTACATTAACCTAAATCAATTTTAATTTGCTTACAAATTAATCTGTAGAGTGACTATTAAGTTTTTGCTTCTCCTTCTGCCAAATCTTTGCCTCTGGGCTTGCTGAACTGGGGCTGGGGTGAGCCACCAGAATTCAAAATAAACCAGAATCTCACTTTCTGAACTGCTCCCTGGCTCCTTACGTGCCTGACTGCAGCTCAACTTGTACCCCAGGATAAGGCGTGTAAACATACCCTTTGCTTACTGTCTTGGCAAGGCAGACCACACCAGCCCTTGGGGACTATTCTTTCTCTCTTAGAGGGCACAAGGGTGATTGGCAATATCATCTGATCGACAAAAGCTTTCTTCAGTCAATGTAAAAAGACAAAACGGGGAGCGGGGTTAAGCTGCAAGTTGCTGCTCATATATTGGAATGTGCTGCTGTTGCTCAGTGATTCATACTAAGCTGATCTTCAAGCAGTCAGCAAAATGGGTGACCGTTCTTGCCTCCTGACAGGGTCTGGAAGATTGTGACTTTTCCACACAGTCTCTGGGGAATTCCCAGTCCACATGCTGAGGACCTAACTACATCTTGCATTATCCCAGGGCTGGCCCAAGACATTTTGGAACCTGAGGTGAACCACAAAATGGCTTCCCCCCTGCCAGGGAACATGGAGGGAATAAAAATCTACGTCAGGAACAAGGACGGGAAGACACGAGCAGCGCCTCCAAAAGGCCACTGTACAGGAGGCATTGAGGGGGGTTGCTGAGGAGTAGGCAGATCTGGCTTCCAAGGAATGGGCTATGTGTTCCTTGAAGGCCAGATCTGCAATCCTTGCGAATTCTGCCGCCTGTGGTGGTCACCTCATCTTGTCTCATGGTTTGGCCAAACTCGTGTTAGCCACCTACCTGTGCCTTTATGTGCCTTGGATTTTTTTTGTTTTGTTTGTTACAGCATGGTCCCCTTGAGCTGAGGGGGAACCATAGTGTGGGGGCAGGAGGGAAAGATTTAACCCTCTGCTTACTGCTATGATCCCTATCCATATTGGGGGCCCTGCACCTGCAGTTTGCATAGAGGGGGAAATTTTGCATTGAAGTGAATGAGAGTTTCCCCCTAAAGAAGACTGCAAGAGATGGGAGGGGCCTAATATAGATTGGAATCACAAGGGGGATAAAGGGTTAATGTCCCGTCCCCCCGCCAATTGCTAGGCAATTTGTGTAAGACAACCATGCACTTAAAAGTAAAGCACTGCACCCAACATAATGTATCATTTGCCCCTCAGAAGAACTGTTGCTGTAGGTGAAACCATAACCACAATAATTCGTTGTGGTCCTTAAAATGTGGGTAAACCTGTCCACAGAGAAGAGCACAAAAGTAAATGTAGAAGTCTTGAAGAAACAGGCACAATGGAAAGTAATGGAAAGAGTTAAAGATGTGTCAGCTACTTGAAGGGTATAATTGATTATTAGCATCTGAAGTGTGTAAGCATTAAAGAGAAAGATGATTTGAGTACATTATACAGAGCAGCTTAACTAGGAATAATGATAGGAAATTGAGAAACTGAGGGTCTAACTGTATGTTGCAGGCAAATCTCTGGAGCAGAGCTTGATGTTGACCTTAAAAACAAACATACACTCAGAGCTAGGATTTTGAGAGGAGCAGCAGTGAGAGGAGGGATGCTTAACCCATTTTTTGCACTTGCTATTTCACCATTCTAAATTGTTGCCCGAGTGGCTTCCACCAATGTGGTTCAAAATGCAGGTAAACACAACTTTTGAGCACTATGTGTGCGTGTATGTCTACATGTGTATGTGGGAAGCCCTATAAATGCAAGCAATTTGGAGCAGAGAAATAGAAATAAAGGCAGGGCCAGCCCTACTATTAGGCAAAATTAGGTGACTGTAGAAAGTCTGATGGCAATGGCAGCAACCCTGCCAGCCATTTCCTTCTGTTGGAGAGCAGATGTCTGAGCCATACGGCCTGTTCTGCACCCCCTGAACTAGCCCACTGCTGCCATGTGCAATGATGGCAGTGCTGAAGTAAAATTCCCTCCAGTCGAGTTCACCACATGGAGTAGGGAGTGGTGCCATCTTGTCTTTCGACTCAGGCAGCAAACTATTTTGGGCCAGCCCTGGAGAGAAGGTTCAAGATGCACAGTGGGACATATTTCTGAAAAAAGTTTGCATACAATCAGGCTACCTGTGTGGTGTAGTGGTTAAGAGCGATGGACTCGGAATCTGGTGAACTGGGTTTGCTTACCCGCTCCTCCACATGCAGCTGCTGGGTGACCTTGGGCTAGTCACACTTCTCTGAAGTCTCTCAGCCTCACTCACCTCACAGAGTGTTTGTTGTGGGGGAGGAAGGGAAAGGAGTTTGTGAGCCGCTTTGAGACTCCTTCGGGTAGTGATAAAGCGGGATATCAAATCCAAACTCTTCATAGACCCCCCTATGCAGGGATGTTTTGACCTTTCAAGTCTGGCTTTGGGCCGGGGGGAACTCGGAGTTGTGGGGGCCTTTAACTTTGGAGGGACCTTGAAACATGCCTTTAAATATCACATGGATTTCAGTGTTGACTATGGAAAAGGGGCTGACTTGTCGAGAAGGGACAAAAATATTGTCAAGCTGGAGTCTCCTCAGTGAAAGGAGCAGAAGACAAAGTAAAGTACAGGTATAAACATGAAGAAGACCTGCGGAAGGGACATGGAAAAGACTTAAGAGCCTCGGATATAAGGTCACCAGGTTGATGGACTAGATGGATGGGATAGAAAGGACTGACAAAACCCGAGACCAGGAAGAAGAGACGATGGATGAAGATTGGAAGAAAGTTTTAAAAATTTATTTAGAAAAGTATTGTAAAATTAATGAGTATTAGAAAAATGTTGGAATGAAATTATTTGGCTCTAGCAGAAATGTTAAAAAGAATTATGTAAGAATATGTTATGGTTAAGAGAATTTGGTATAAATAAGATTTAAGTTTTAAGTTTTAGGGTTTTTTATGGTAAGATAAGGTTAAAATAGATTAAGGTAATATAATGACAGAATATTGTGAAAGATGGAAAGGATTTGCTGAGATAATTAACAACTAGAATACAAAAAAGGGAGGTGTGAGGAGGTTGATGAAATAAGTTAATGACAGTTAAGGATCTGGGAATATTGGATTTGTTTTTAAATTTTTTGTTTATTTTTGCTTTTTGCTTTTGATGTATTGTGTGTTTTGTTTTTTCTTTTTGACTTTGGTTTTTACTGATTTGTATTGTTTAATTGTTACTTTTATCTACTTTTTTCTTTCTTTTTCTCTTTCTCTTGTTTTTTCCTTCTTTTTTCTTTGTAACCTTAAAATTCTCAATAAATATCATTTTAAAAAAAAAATCATATCCAAACTCTTCTTCTACCTCTTCTCATGACACTGTCACAAGGTTGTGCCCGGTTACAGGTTATTGTGTGCTCATTACTTCCTGTTGCTAGAAAAGGAAAGAGAGGAGCAAATGTTTAATTTTCAACTCAGCATTGCCTGGCACAAGCACTGCAGAGGTAGAGAACGTTTGACCCTCCAGGTATTGCTGAACTACAACTCCCATCAACCTCAGCAAGCGCGGCCAGTGGCCAGGAATGATGGGAATTGTAGTTCAGCAGCTTCTGCAGGCCCAAGGGTTCCCCTCACCTGGGGTAAAGAGAGCCCTAAATTTAGTCTACTGACCTCACACCTTTGAGAAATCCATAACTACTCAGAAGTATCATGAGGTGTTTTTTTTGCAGAAAGGAGGATCTTGTAAGAGTCCTGTGCCTGAATTCTCTACAGGAAGATGCTTTCATTGCTGATATTGATTTTAGTAAGCTCACACATTCTTCCTTCTCGTGCATTCCCGCAGCGCATCCTAAAAACTTATAAATAATAAATATAAGGGGAGAGATGCTTTCCTTTCCTTTGATTATTACTGTAAGCATGATGCCACTCAGATAGTCTGGTTTATCCACTGCAGCATGACGTCAACATATGGTGGTCAATTGACCAGAAGAAAGTGACTTGGCTTGCTCTTGAGCCTTTAAGAGCACTTTGAGCTCTCCAAATCATCTGGGAAGCTTTGCACAACAGCAGAGAAATAAGCATTATACCTGCTAATGCCTGCAGATCAAGATGCTTTTAAAGGCTAAGTAGCAGAGAATAGTAGTAGTAATAGTAGTAGTAGTAGTAGTAGTAATAAATATGTAATAGTTTTTTTAAAAAATTCTGAAAGATGGACATTCAGATGGTCCATCTGATTCATGGATTTTTGTGTCTTGCACTTGTGAAAAAGAGTTGTGATTAACTATGCTTCAGTCTCAAGGTCTAGATCAGGGTTTTCCAAACTTGGATCTCCAGCTTATTTTGGGACTACAGTTCCCATCATGATGGGATCATAGGAGTTGTAATCCAACAACAGCTGGAGACCCAAGTTTGGGAAACTCTGGTCTCGATGGTACTTGTTGCCTCAATATATCATGTTTTCCCTGGGAGATCTCTAGCACGTCCACATAAAAAGCACAGAGCCCTGCTGGTCGAGGGTCCTGCCAAATGAATGTGTTAGCCCTCAGCAGCCATGTCTTTAAAACTGCCTTTTGATGAGTTTTAGCCTCATGCGCAGGTATGCGCTGAAGCAATTGTGTGACTGTAACGTAACCAGATTTTTTAATGCTGTGCCTGAGGCCAAAAGACATACTAAGGGTGGTGGTAAGTAAAGGTAAAGGGACTCCTGACCATTAGGTCCAGGCGTGACCAACTCTGGGGTTGCGGCGCTCATCTTTATTGGCCGAGGGAGCCGGCATGCAGCTTCCGGGTCATGTGGCCAGCATGACTAAGCCGCTTCTGGAGAACCAGAGCAGCGCACGGAAATGCCATTTATCTTCCCGCCGGAGCGGTACCTATTTATTTACTTGCACTTTGATGTGCTTTCAAACTGCTAGGTTGGCAGGAGCAGGGACCGAGCAACGGGCGCTCACCCCGTTGCGGGGATTCGAACCGCCGACCTTCTGATCGGCAAGCCCTAGGCTCTGTGGTTTAACCCACAGCGCCATAACTCAACATGAAGCAACCCAAACCTAAATGTTAGCAGTCCTGTAGGTTTCAAGTGACTTATTTCATTCAAACTTAATTCAAAGTGTCAAAGTGTTTGTTAATCTTCATAGGAACATAGGAAGTCGCCTTATACCAAGTCAGAACATAGGCTCATTTAGCTTAGTACTGTCTGCACTGACAGACAACGACTCTCTTGGATTTCAGAGAGGGCTCTCTCCCAGTCCTACCTGGGGGCGCCAGGGATTGTACACGGGGCCTTCTGCATGCAAAGCAGTTGATGTAACCCTGAGCTAGTGACTCATTCATTGATCAGAATGCTGGGAAACGAAGGCAAGTTTACTTCTTTCTTGGCTACTGGGTAGGATATCAGCCACACATTCCCCCTATATTTTCATAACTAATGAATGGTAAAGACTTAGGGCACCATGGCAGGGATGCTGAAAGCAAGCAACCATTACTTAGTTCTTCTTCTTCTTTGACGATCACTCGTAGCCTAGTAAGATTGTCTTCCATAAACATGGTTTTAACAGTCAGTCTATAAGTGACTGTGGAGGCCAATTTTGGAGCCACACGTCCTTCCACAGTGGGAACATAGGTTTCTGGGTGGGAGTTGATCACGGTGAGCCAAGCGTGCCTTCCTCTTAGTGTGTTTCTCCCTTGTGTCCTGAGTTTGAGCGTCTTCAAAGCCCATGACACCTTTGGTAAAGGCTGTTCTCCAACTGGAGTGCTCACAGGCCAGTGTTTCCCAATTGTCAATGTCTATACTACATTTTTTGAGATTTGCCTTGAAAGAGTCTTTAAATCTCTTTTGTTAACCACCAGCATTACACTTTCCATTTTTAAGTTCGGAATAGAGTAGTTGCTTTGGAAGACGATAATCAGGCATCCTCACAACATGACCAGTTGATGTTGAAGAATCATTGCTTCAACACTGGTGATCTTTGCTTCTTCCAGTACACTGGCATTAGTTCACCTGTCTTCCCAAGTGATGTGTAAAATTTTTCGGAGACACCGTTGAAGGAATCTTTCCAGGAGTTGGTTGCTTAGTAGTAGAGTACTTGCATTGCATGCAACATTTCACAGGTTCTTTACTAATAGGTTCATGTAGGGCTGTGGAAGACTCCCGTCTGAAACTTCCAGGGATTGCTAACACCCAGCACAGACAGTAATTAGATGGTGGACTTGGCATAAGGAAGCTTTCTGTACTGTATACCTTTTCCTTCCTTAAGTTTTATTCAAGAAATAAGCTTCCTATGTTCCTAAACTGGATTTGCTGGAAGGAATTTTTCATTAAAAATTAAGGCGAATATTCAGGACAGAGACTCCCTGCCCAGGTTTGCCCTGTCTGGTTTCTGTGAAATTCTGCGGATTTTGTTTGATGGCAACTGTAATATGTGCTTCTGTGGGCTGAAACTGGATTCATGATTGGGACATATTCATGATGGATGCTACAGAATTATTCTGATTTGGTTCCTTAGAGTATTCAACTTGTAGTGAAACTGATCAAGCAACAGTGGTGCTTTTGCTGATTATTGCAGGAATGGATTGACCAAAAATTGTGCTGGAATCCGGAGGACTATGGTGGAATCACCGCAATTCGAGTTCCATCTGAATCTCTCTGGCTCCCAGATATTGTTTTGTTTGAAAAGTGAGTATACAGATCTTGACACTCATTTTTTACAGTATTTTTCGTACTTGTGTGCAGGGGTCTCAGGAGAGAAGCTGAAAGGTAGATAATTTATTTTCTTTGTATAGCGACATCTGTGTACTGTACGAAGCAGGTGTGGTGAACCTCCAGATTTTACTGAACTCAAACTCCCAATCGGCCGAGATTATTAGCCACGCTTTCTGGGGCTGATAGGAGTTAGCTTTCAGTAAAATGTGGAGGGCCAATGATCCCCCACATCTGCGACAAAGTAACATTAGCAAAAAGACAGATCTAAGCCTCAAGGACAAACTTGGCCCTCTAGCTATTTTGGGACTACAACTCCCATCATCCCGGGCTAACAGGACCAGTGGTTAGGGATGATGGGAATTGTAGTCCCAAAACAGCTGGAGGCCATGCCTGCTCAAGGAGATTATAGTCAAAAATTTGACATACAAAATGGGTGGGTGGGTAGGAATAGTAGCAAGAATAGCAAAAGAATGTGTACATATGTATTTGAAGTTACCGTATTTTTTGCTCTATAAGACTCACCTTTTCCCTCCTAAAAAGTAAGGGGAAATGTGTGTGCGTCTTATGGAGCGAATGCAGGCTGCACAGCTATCACAGAAGCCAGAACAGCAAGAGGGATTGCTGCTTTCACTGCGCAACGATTCCTCTTGCTGGTCTGGCTTCTGAGATTCAGAATTTTTTTTTTCTTGTTTTCCTCCTCCAAAAACTAGGTGCGTCTTGTGGTCTGGTGCGTCTTATAGAGCGAAAAATACGGCACTTAGAGCTAGTGGCTATAGGAGAATAGTAGATTATTACCTTTGCTTTCTCCACCTCTTTTCTAGTCCCAAACATGGTCCTATTCTCCTTCTCTTCCAAGGGCATACAGTAGGCATGTCATTAGGGGACCAGCAAGTTGGGGTGGGCTGTGCCAGGACCTTGAGAAGGGGAGGGTGTTATAGACATGGAGTAAAATCTTGGGGAGAGGCCCAGCAGTGTAACCTCCCAATTTTTACAGTGACCACAAGCATTTGCCTCTATTTGGTCATTCAGTAGCCCTGGAGAGAACAAAAGTATATTTCCAAAATGCCCTGTCTCTACCAGTAAACTTAAGACTCAATTCAGTAATGAATTTTATATTGTTGAGTAATTTTTGTTTTATTTATTGGTAATGGTGGTTTTAATGTTTCTGCCTTGGGAGCTTGTGGGTGAAAGGCAGCTTATGAACATCTGGAATGAATGGATGAATAGGTACTAAAAGGCTGCTGAAACATGGCACAATTTATTGCAACCTGTTTATGATTACGTACCTGTCTACCATCTACCAAAGCGATGGGAAGCAAAATCGGAATATAAGAAAAAGAATCGGAAATAGCAGCTTGGAAACACAATTCAAAACGTTTTTCTTCCCTCCTCTCCCCTTTCCAGTGCTGATGGGCGCTTTGAAGGTTCCTTGATGACAAAAGCAATAGTCAAATACAATGGGATAGTAGTCTGGACTCCCCCAGCCAGTTATAAAAGTTCCTGCACTATGGACGTCACCTTCTTCCCATTCGACCGACAGAATTGCTCAATGAAATTCGGATCGTGGACCTACGATGGCAACATGGTGGACCTTATTTTAGTAGATGAAAATGTGGACAGGACAGATTTTTTTGATAATGGAGAATGGGAAATCCTAAATGCCAAGGGGATGAAGGGAAACCGAAAAGACGGATTGTATTCCTACCCTTTCATTACCTATTCTTTTGTTTTAAGACGACTGCCATTATTTTACACTCTCTTCTTAATCATCCCATGTCTGGGATTATCTTTCTTGACTGTGCTTGTTTTCTACTTGCCTTCTGATGAGGGAGAAAAACTCTCGCTGTCCACCTCGGTTTTAGTCTCCCTTACTGTTTTTCTCTTAGTCATTGAAGAAATCATCCCCTCTTCCTCCAAAGTCATCCCTTTGATTGGTGAGTACTTGCTGTTCATCATGATTTTTGTCACCTTGTCCATCATCGTGACTGTTTTTGTAATCAACGTGCACCATCGTTCCTCGGCCACCTACCACCCGATGGCTCCTTGGGTGAAGAGGCTCTTCCTTCAGAAACTCCCCAGGCTGCTCTGTATGAAAGGACATGTAGATCGCTATTCATTCTCTGATCCCAAAGGGACCCGGAAAGAAAAGCCGACGAGGAAACATAAACACAAACAATTCAAAGACGGAGAAAAAATTGTGATTGCCTTCCTGGAAAAGGCTGCTGATTCCATCAAGTATATCTCTGGGCATGTGAAAAAGGAACACTTCATTAGGCAGGTATGTTAGTTCAAAATCAGGCAGGTATCATCATCACTATCTATTATTTATACCCCACCCATCTGGCTGAGTTTCCCCAGACATTCTGGGCGGCTCCCAACAGAATATTAAAAACACAATAAAATATCCAACATTAAAAACTTCCCTAAACAGGGCTGCCTTCAGATGTCTTCTAAAAGTCAGGTAGTTGTTTATTTCCTTGACATCTGATGGGAGGGCATTCCACAGGGCAGGCACCACTACTGAGAAGGCCCTCTGCCTCGTTCCTTGTAACCTTACTTCTCACACCAGAAGGCCCTCGGAGCTGGAGCTCAGTGTCCGGGATGAACAATGGGGGTGGAGATGCTCCTTCAGGTACACTGGGCCGAGGCCGTATCAGTCACACTAAGTCAACATAGGTATTCTAGCCCAAAAAAGGTAGGTTGACTGTGTGTGCAGAATCAGGCCAAGAGTCTCCTAGCCCAGCATTTGCTTAATCCTAGATGGTCTACTTGAAATTGGCTTATATCCATGAGTGAACCATGTTTCACCTTCTATCTACCCCATTAGATATTTAAAAAGTGATTGTTTGCACCTGACTTGTGTTATGGCTTATGCTAGCTAAAAATGCCATTTATATTCACTTATAAATATCCAAGGCCACAGGGAGTGGTGTTTTTTTTGAAAGGCAGAAACTTTGAGAGAACTATTCATGATGAACTTAAATGTTACACAAATCGATAACTAAATTCAAGTGTATTCCAAAGCAGCTCTTCAATTGTGCAAAATACTTGTGAAACTCACGGCCATCATTTTCTTTTCTAGGTGGTGCAAGACTGGAAGTTTGTAGCTCAGGTCCTTGACCGTATCTTCCTATGGCTATTTTTGGTAGTGTCTGTGATGGGCTCTGTTCTTATATTTACTCCTGCTTTAAAGGCGTGGTTGCAAAGTGGAAGTAGTATTGTCTAGAAATAAGAACATGGGAATCTGCAGAAGGAAGGAAGGAAGGAACTGAATAGACTCAGAGTCAACACAGGTGCATACTGAACTGGAAACGACACTGCCATTGGTGGCAATTGGTATTGTTGATGATTGTACCCTCCAATCAACTTTTAAGGCTGAATCCTATGCTCGTTTACCTGAAAGTCCTGTGAGCTAAATTGCATTTACTTCTGAGTAGAGAACCATAGGATGGCACTGTTAGCCTTTCAAATTGTTGCACAAATGAAGACATCCAATTCTGTATCTGTAGGTGTTTATCAGCTAATACAGATACAGTCGCCATTGAAAGATAAGCCTCTATGTATTCAAGCACATAAGCCAGACCTATGTAGACCACAAACATATCGATTTTGCATCAGTTTAAACTGTTGCAAAACCAAAGAATCCTTGGACTTGTAGTGTGTTGTGTTGAGGATTATCTGTGAGGAGTCCCTAACACTTCTCTGTCCCCAAGCACTTGAGTGACTAGAGAATGCCCACCAAACCATTTTGTCAGTGGCATATTTTGAAAGTTTTGTTTTTATTTTTAAATCATGTCCAAAATTATTAATACAGCAATATATCTTTGACACTGGGAAGATTTTATAGATATCTATATGAACTATAAAAACATGTTAGTCCTAAAAGATCTGCATCAGTAGATCTTGCATAATTTTATTCAGCCATATTCAAACTTGGTTTCAGCACTTAAATGTACATATTCCATTTTATGCAAATTGTATGCAGAAAAGTGAGGTCTCTGTGTATTTGTTGCACTAAATGTGTTTTTAAAGATGTTGAATAATATATAAAGGCATAGGGCACTTGTGCATAAGCTTTATGAAGAGTAAGTATAATAAGCACAGATATTATATATCTATATCTATATATAACAATTAATAACTGAGTTTACATGTATATTTATGCATACCACTCAAGTGACCTGTCATTATGAGTGACATCTTATATCTATTTTCAGTTTTGAAAGCCATTCTTCATTCCTCCTTTTGGTTTGCCCAGGTCTTACATCTGTTCTTGGTGCCCCTCAATTTCTGGAAACCTTTGCCACGTTTTAAGCAATGAATCATGCTGGAGAGAGATATGAGTAAGACTTGCCAACGAGCCCAGCAAGGGCATATGTATCTCTGTTGCCATTGGAGACTTGCAGGCCTTTGACTGGTGTTTTTTGTTTTTACACATGTGGATTTCCTACCTCTTTGGATTTCCGGATGGGGAACATCTTTCACCCCCAAGAGCCACATATTTTCATGGGGAACCTTATGGGGGCCACATACCAGGGGGTGGATGGGGCCAGGGGGGAAAGTAGGCAGATCAGTGCATACGACTCTTACATTCTAACCTTGCAAAAGTCAGGTGCTTTGATATTTACCCAAATCTCAGTCTCCTCCATCCAGACCAGCAAGAGGCATTTTCATAGTTCAAGGCACATTCCAGGCAAGCAAGGAGGTCCTAGGGCAGGGCTCCTGAAGATGTAGCCTGAGGGCCGGATGGAAGGCTGCATTTGGCCTGCTGGCCAGAGGTTCCTCGTCTCTGCTGTATTCAGATTACTGGTATAACTTTCCAGGTTGGGAGGGTAATGGTGGAGTTGACATTATGTGGGCCACACATGTTTATTTCTCCCTACACTATCACAGACTCCGATCCAAGGGGTTTTTGCAAGTTTCTGTAGCTCGTCAAGCATCACTGGATGAAACCAGTGCCAGCTCCTAGTAGTACCCCCAGAAGAATACTGTGCTCATTTTGGTGTGACGGTTGTGATGGTTCCCATGATGAGTAGCACAGTATCTGGAGTAGCTTAGAGCTGCCTGGAAAGATATTTTAAAAAAACGTTTCTTAAGGACATGAAAATGTGAACGTATTCCATTGGTAGTGCTTTAAAAACAGGTGCTGGAGAAAATAAATGCACTACTTTCTCTCACCTTTACAGTGAGGCTGCCCACCCCCATTATCCTTGTAAATTGACCAGTGCTAGAGTTGGGGGGCAGGAATACTGTTGAAGGAGACCATGCTTCCATTGCTCTCCATCTGCGATTGCCTGTTTGCAGCCTAACTGTGAAGCCGGTCACACAAGGCTTCGGTGGTGAGCTAATCTGCTTGGCAGCAGTAAACAACAGCCAAGGAGCTGCCAGGTCTTGTAGACATCGCTTTGCAATCCAGTTCCACGCTAGTGAAAAGCATCAGCTGGGCTCAGTCCCCTCCAACCGTACTGCATGCTGCTGCTACTTAGTTCAATTTTTGGCACAAAAGGAACCCTAGATGCCGCAATAGTAGACAAGCATGCACACAGAGAGGAAGGCCAAGCAGCCCTTGGGGTTGTTCCAGACCTTCCAAGTGTCTCTATTTTCCAGGGATAGTCCTAGATTTACAGAAGCCATCCCAGTTTCTAATTTGATCCTGGAATGTCCCGTTTTTCCTTAGGATGCCCCTGTTCCCATTGGAGAAATGTTGGAGGGTATGGCGTCCAGGTCGACATACAGGAATTTTACAGTACAAAAGACCAAAGATTGGAATAGAACTTGTCTAGTGTGCTCAGTTTATAATTAAAATGCCCCTATCCATATTTTTTAAATTTTATTTTTAAAAGGAAACAAGTGCCAAGTACTCACCAAGCTATTCTGAGACCAAAAATGAAATTTGACACAAATTGTGCATGCAGCGTGCAAGCCTTGAGGCTCGCAGCATTGCCCCATCTGGTAAAGAACATATATATTGGGGCGAAATAGTCCACTAAGGAAATTGCTTTCCGCTCTGTGTTCACTCTGCACCCCCTAGGCTCAACCCTAGTGCAGGAAGTAAAAAGTAAAATGTCACAATGTGCTAGAAAACCTACCTGTCCTGTATGTGAGCATAGAACCGCTTTGGATGCTAGATTGTTGTTGCAGGCAAGAATTGTGCACGGGTGTAAACATAATGAATAAAAGCAATAATGACTCATGAGACGGAGAGTGTTGTTTTTGTGTGTCGACAAAGAACTGGTGGTGGTGGTGAAACTCAGCAGTGGGAAAAGGCTGCGGCTGAGTTCTAAAAATAGGTAGAAAGGACATTCCAAGGCAGCCAAGTGCTCAGGGCTAATTTTCATATAATTCTTTCCCCCTCTGTCCTTGTGGAGCATCATCATGAGTGGAGTGTGACATTGCCACTTGCCCCACATATGGCCAGTCCCAGGTGCATGGCTGCTCTCCAGACCATCTTTGCTATTCTCTTTTGATATCTAATGTTCAATTTCAGATGCCGCCTCTAATTTCACAGTGCTTAGAAGAAACTGTGTGCAGAATCCTGGATGAAATATATGCACATCCCGCTTTTCTATGTGTTATAATAAGCAAAGGGGCCAACATTTTGTGAAATAACTGTTAGTTGTGAAACAACAACACCCCACACAGTAACATGAAGCATAATAGGCAACAGCAGCAAGGTAAATAAAACATGGCAGCCGTCAGTCAGGATGTTCCATTACCCATACACAAAAGTGTGAACCCTACATTCCAGTAGTCAGGTCCTCAATGGTGTCAACCAATCTTCTCCAACCTCGTGCAGCTCTCTCCCAGCATGGCCAAAGTTCAGGGCTAATGGGAATTGTAGTCTTAAAAATCTGGAGGGTTTCAGGTAGAGGGAAACTTAGGTAGGTGGGCACATGAAACTCCACTGAGATAAATTTAAGGACCTTAAGCTACATTAGTAAAAAGCTTGAGCAGGGCAGGGTTAACACAAAACAGCCTCTCTGAAACAGCAAAATGGTGTGAAATTCTTCCACAGCATCTTAATTTAATTAAATCAAATCTCTAAGTAATCAGCAGTGATTTAATTAAAAAGCTGGGGCTGATTAACCAATGATTTGATCTAATTTTATGGTCACGAGACTTGAGATATATTTTTAAGATCATCCATCTTGTGGAATTTCCTCAACAAATCTAAAACTTACAGCAGTTTGACACCTCAGATTGCACACAGTCACTCCTAAAAGAGACAATAGTCTTATGCTTCCGCCTGCTCAAAGTTCATAAAATGAACCTGCTAGATGTGTAGCATAGATTACACACCTACTGTATGTAAGTGAATAAACAGAAGGCTCCACAGTATCTCAGTTACTGCAGCGATTAAGACCCAAGCTTATATCTATGGCCTTTGGAATTCCAGACCTACCGTTCCTCTTCTGCAAAGGGCATCACAGGCCTACAGCTTTAAACTAGGAGCTACATTTAGATTGGCACGATACACTTAGCCACAGCTTCTTCTAAAGAAGCCTGGGAATTATGGGTTCCATCTACACACACAGTGTGATAGAAACCTGAGTTGGGAGAATGGACCTCACCACATCATAAGGCAGGTGGGGGAAACCACATTTTTGAATGCTCCTTAAGAAAAATTTGCTTCCAGCAAAAATAAGTAGCACAGGAGGGGGAGAGAGCTAGGCTGGAAACATTCAGCCATCGGTGTTAATTAGCTACTTAATGTAATATATGTGGAATATATATGTGGAAATATGTGGAAGGGCATTCAGAAATAGTGTCTCCTGCATGCAGTCTGCTGTGGTACAGTCCATTCTACCACCTCATAGATTGTTGAGAGTGAGACAGGCAACCCAGGATCCCTAATGGATCATCTTCAGCACCCTCACCAACCTATAATTCCCAGGATTCTTTGGAAGAAACCGTAACTCAGTGATGAAAAGTAATATAAAACTGTCATGTTGATAGGGTCAAAGTAAGCAGGAATCTGGCTATATTTTTTATATATTGAAAGGCCAATTTATCTGGGGAGTTTAAATGGAATATCACTAAATTATACAGTCATACCTCGGGATAAATACGCTTCAGGTTGAGCGCATTCGGGTTGCGCTCTGCGGCGACCTGGAAGTAACGGAGTGTGTTACTTCTGGGTTTCGCCACTCGTGCATGCGCAGATGGTCAAAATGACATGTGCATGCGCAGAAGTGGCGAAATGCAACCCGCACACGCGCAGATGTGCTGCCGCGTCTTACGTTATGTTCAGTATGTGAACGGGGCTCCGGAACAGATCCCGTTCGCATCCCGATGTACCACTGTACTCCAGATTTATAACCAGGGAGTTTCCATGCGGGGGAAAAGCCATATAGAGTGGCTATCACCCATCCTATTATCTGACACAATATAGTTTTTCTGATTGAACCAGCAAAACACTGGCTGATTATGAACTAAGGAAAAGGTATCACTCCAGTCCAACTGTGCACAATCCTATAACATCCTTCCCCAACCTGGTGCCCTCCAGATATTTTGGACTACAACTTCCATCAGCCCCAGCAAGCACGGCCTTTTGGATGCGAATCTCAGCCATACTTGCATTTTTTAAAAAAGTGGTCAGTGTGAATGTGTTCCTAGACTTTTAAAGCAGAAAACGGCATGGCTATTTTAAATAACGTGAATACGTAATAAACTGCTTTTAATTTTTTTATTTGAAGCTACTTAAATACGTGACATATTGTAGAAAAATACAAACATATTCCAAACAAAACAATAAACACCGAGAATGGAGGAAATCATGAAAGTCAGAACTGCATCGGTCACCATAAACTCAGCACATTGTTAGGCACGGGTAAGACCATTCGTTATCATATCTAATTCTGTGCTGGATTGCAGCCACCGTGTGTGTAATATATAGAGAGATGCCTATTGCGTGCTTAATATATTTCAGGTTTCTCCTGCATAAGCAAGTAATGGTACTAGTGTCATTTTAACTACACTGGAAGAATCAGCAGAGTGTAGGATGCAAACCACAACATTGTTCCCTGTCTATACTCCTTATCAGTCCCCGACACTGGTCTAGTGCAACCATCGTGGGACTTCAGGCATGCACAAGCTACTTCATGTTTCTTCTGGCCCCCACAAGATCTGCCAGCTAAAGGTAAAGGGACCCCTGACCATTAGGTCCAGTCGTGGAAGACTCTGGGGTTGTGGTGCTCATCTCGCTTTATTGGCCGAGGGAGCCGGCGTACAGCTTCCGAGCCATGTGGCCAGCATGACCAAGCCGCTTCTGGCAAACCAGAGCAGCGCACGGAAGCGCTGTTTACCTTCCCACTGGAGCTGTACCTATTTATCTACTTGCACTTTGATGTGCTTTTGAAGTGCTAGGTTGGCAGGAGCAGGGACCGAGCAACAGGAGCTCACTCCGTCGCAGGGATTTGAACCACCGACCTTCTGATCGGCAAGCCCTAGGCTCTGTGCCACCTGCGTCCCTCTCTGCCAGTTAAAGTTAGGTACAAAATAATGACCACCACTCAGGGTGGTAGGTGGGGACAGTGGCCATTGCAGAATTACCTACAGGATGATTCTGTTACCTACAGTACCCCATGAGAGGGATAGCCTTCCTATATAATGTGTGGAATTGACATCTGAGTTACTACACATCAGATAACAACCATTGTTCTTTCTTTCTTTGGAAGGTGTGTGTGGGGGGGGAGATAGGGGGCACCTTTTTGCCGTTGCTTTTTTTTTTTTAATGGGAGTTTCTAAAAAGTTATCATCCTACTGCAAATCACCCCCCGTTCTGCCAGTAGATCTTAATCTACTTTCTGTCTAGTCCTGCTGTACAACATCCTCATGCATATTCCCCAAGGATATAGGATAAAGATAGGTCCCTAGAGGTGAATCTAGCCATTGACCAAGCTAATGTGGGGCTGCTTTCCCACAGACATATATACATGTAGGGGCTGTTGAAGCAGCCATCTTTTGTTTGCATGCTAAGAGTCGGAAATGATCAGTGGTGTTTCCTTTGTGGGAGCTGAGAGTTGCAGATGTTCTTGTAATGGACAGTCTACCTAAACTGCTTGCATGTTGCTGGTGGAAGAATAAACTAGCTTGAATTTGGGCACACAAAGAGCAAGCCTGAGTAGGTGAGCTGTGATTTGCAGCCATTGGCTGATGATGAAGGTTCCTTGAGCTGTGCTGCTCTTAGGGGGCTTGCAGGACTAGTGGTTCTGCCAATTGCTTTAGGAGACTACTTCCTTCCAACACTCTCCCTTTGCATGTTTGCAAATTAGCAGGCTTCTGTAAGTCTTCAGGGCTCTCCTCCCATCAGCAGGAAATTGACTTCATTTAAAATAAAACCAACCAAACTCACCTCTTGGAACTTCCAAATGCTTGGAGAATTGGAATGAGCCTCCCCCCTTTCCCCCATATGATATAATGGGTATTCAGAAAATATTGGCAAGAGTAATAAATTAGTAAGTTAAAATTCCTTCTGTATATCAAGTTTAACCATAACAAAAAGGAGCACATGGACATACATTTAAGGGAAAGCTCATAGACAGACGTGACTGGTTTTTGCTCCGTGGTTATAATTCGCCTTCGAGGAATCATGCCATTAGTGCATCTCAGAATCCTGTTAGGCCAGTCAGAAGCATTTTGCAATGTTTACAACCACAGAAGAACGTGATTCCAAAACAGTCAACAGTCACAAACAATTAATATTGTGTGGGTAGGCTGACTAGCACACTTTATTTTATTTTGTTAGGACTCCTCCATATTTCCTCTTGTACCACTGCTTTCCCCTGGGGCAGGGAAACTGCTCTTTAGCGCTCAATCAGAGCAAACAGCAATTTGGGTTTTCTCCAGATTGCCATTTGTTCCAATCTATCACTGAAGGGCAGTTCTTCCTTTGGAAAGGAGGGGGTCAACTGGCACAAGTGGAAGTGCAGATGAGCTCTCACTTGGAGGATGGATGACACATCTCCAATGGATTCTCTTTGTAAAATGCCTGCAAATGTGGAAATAGGATGGCTGGAACATTTCCTCCTAATCATATAGCCATGCTTGCTCAAGCTGGTTCTTCTCTGGCTCACCTTGAACTAGTTTCTTCAAAGAAATAATATTTCTTCAAAGAAATAAGAGCCTACAAATGAGCCACTTAAAAAAAAAATCTACTCTACTTTTTATTAGAGATGCGAATGAAGCATGTTGCCTAATTACATTGTGTGGACCAACTCTGTCCAATAATTTTCAAACAGGGTTCCCTGGAAGCTTACCAGGAACCATTCGTTCCTAGTGTAGAAGCAATGTGCAGCCAAAGTGGAGCAGTTGATGTGCTCCAGAACATACTTCTTGTTTACCAGTGGAGAATGCTGAGCTGGCCAATAAGCCCACTCAGTGCTCAATGGTTATGAATGAGCTGCACACTCTAGAATCATTTACAACAAGTCAGGGTTCCATAGCAGATGTGCAAAGGTTCCTCAATGAGCAAGCCCATGTGGACAAGGTTCCCTGAGGGTGGAAAATGTGAAAGCCAATAGAAATAAAGAAGAAAGCACTGCTCTTTTGACCTGAGGTGAAAGGAGACATTCTACTGCAGGCGGATGACTTGAATATAAAACTGAAAGGTACACGTAGAGCAAAACTTGAACAGTCAGTGAATTATGTGTCTGCTATCAGGGGCTGTAGGAATAATCCTGCAGTCCCAAATACACAGAGAATTATGAACACCCACAGGAACACTCTGTCAATTACCATGGCAACGTATTTCCAGTCATCTTCCACCTGTAAACACACAAGAAGACATATCATATTTAATGTGCCAGGTTTAGACACAATTCAACTTTTCCCAGGTAATAAAACATTATCAGCTTGAGGTTCCGCTGAAAGAACTGTTTTGCCCATTCAATTGTGACATTTTCCAGCTTTTGTCTTATGAAGATGCACATGAAACTGGAGCATTGTGAAGCGCTGACATGTCCTAGTATCACTGAATTCAAGAAGCTTAGCTGAAACCCTGCTGACTTCAGGACCAATGCTATGCCCATTTTGGAATAATTGTATTAGGAAACTTTCTTTAAGGCAAGCATCAGACATCTTCCATCTTCAGCTGTTTTAGACCAGCAGAGAGAAAGTGTGCATGATTTAGAGGTCCAAACAAAGCTGAACAGCAATGTCCTTTTCAGGAAGCCTTCCCCAACCTGGTGCCTTCCAGATGTTTTGGACTACAACTTTCCTCGGCCCCAGCCGACACAGCTGTGGCTGATGGGAACAAGTAACCCCAAAACATATGGAGAGCACCACATTGGCAAAGGGTGTATTAGAGGATTGTGAACCATGTTTTGGAGCCCTGGACTTATACATAAATGACATTCTCTTTAAACCTGATTGCCACTAGTTATACTGGAGAGCCACTTGGATGAAGAATGCTAAATGCACACAAAACCAGTCCCCCAGGACCTTCAAGACTAATTAATTTATTGTGGCATCAGAGTGACAACTGAGTGAGATGTTTTAATGCTTCCTGCTAAGTCCACTAAGACCCACACTCATATTTGGTAATGACAACTGGGAATACAGATGAAATCACTCAAAGGTCTATGTTTGGGACCGAGGCCTCCATTTGCTCATAAAATGTCTGCCTGTTATCTTGTTCCCAGGGCTACCAGCAATGTCAATTTCCCTCTTCCAGGAAGTACAGCTACTGTTCCCTTTTTATTACAGTGCACTCTTCAAAGAGCTCAGTGGAAAGAGCAAGATGGAAGATGGCCATCCTCTCCCTGCATTAGGAAGCTTTCCAGTAATTCCACTACAGGCAAAGACCCCAAACTGGCTGGGACCCTACGCTGTAGCTTACTTAGCATAATGGTTAATCCAGGCTTGGCCCCAAAGCTCCAGTTCAACCCTATGTTTGTCTTTTGGCTCCCTTTCAAGACAGCTCCTTTGTTCCCTTGCATCAGCACAGCTCTACAGAATTCAATAGGGCTACATTGATTGACCACCACCCTGGGATGAGGGCCTCCATTTCTGTAGAACTTCTAAGTGCATATTCAGTGTCTTCATGCCAAAGAAAATGATACCCTGCTTAGCATGAAATATTTATCCATTTAAATACGCAAACCTATTAGCATAATTGCTGAGTCCCATTTTTAAAAGCTGTTGCTCCCGTTTGTTTACTTACAGAGATGGCCCCACAAAACTAGCAGCAAAATGCCCACCCAATGATAAGAAGGAGTTTTGCTGGTTGCTGCTTATCACTAGCTGCCCATCTTCACACCTGATCCTTTGCTTCCAGGATGGCCAGTGTATAGGGATTGGCAATGCCAGAGACCTGCTGAAACCCATTCCTGGCAGTGGGTTGACTGCTTAATCCCAGAGCTTCCTAGCCCTGCTACTCCACCTTCTTGCTGCTTCTGCTTGTTCACCTGCCCGCTCAAAGTGAACAAGCAGTGAGAGGATAGAGGAGGAGGAGAAGGAGCCACTGCAAGCTTTTTCCTTTCCCTCTGGAAAGTGGTACAAACTGGTCCTAGAGGGAGAGGCAAGTGACAGGGCAGTGGAAAGTGTGCCAAGGAAGTGGAGAGCTCCCAAGGAGGGAATTTATTGAGGACACTTTGCCCAAGGACCCCAGAACCTGAAATGGGCACTTCTTCTAGACCTGCTAAACACTACAGTCTTTCCTCCCTGTCATTAGTATTGGGTTTGTGGATTGCTAGATATACAAATAGGTATGAGATGAAGCTGGAGATTGGTACAATGGTTGCTGATGTCAAAAAGGCACTGTTTTTTTCCACTTCAAGCCTGGCAAAGTGGCATTATCCCAGTATGCAGGTAACTACATACTGGGGCAAAACGTTGCAAGCTTGCCAAATGCAGTCAGTGGACAGTGCCTCTTCTGCTAGCGCTGGAAGAGCGGTGCAGGAGGAGTAGGTGGGCCAACGGAGAGTCATGCAACTATTTAATAAGACTATTTAATAATTTGTTAATAGTTATGCCCATATGGAACAGGGAAGAGGCAGAGGGACAGATGCAGAGTGTCTGGGGCAACCTGGTCAGATGGGTGGGATATAAATAATAAAATGATGATGATGATGATGATGATGGAATAGGACATCCCTATTTTCATCAGAGAAATATGGGAGGTTATGAGGCAGGTCTGGGAAAAGACTCATATTTGAACCCTTGGAGAACTGCTGCCAGTCAACATAGATAATATTGACCTAGACAGGGGTCAGCAAACTTTTTCAGCAGGGGGCCGGTCCACTGTCCATCAGACCTTGTGGGGGGCCGGACTATATTTTGGGGGGAAAAATAATGAAACAATTTCCTATGCCCCACAAATAACCCAGAGATGCATTTTAAATAAAAGGACACATTCTACTCTTAAAAAAACACGCTGATTCCCATACTGTCCACGGGCCAGTTTTAGAAGGCGATTGGGCTGGATCTGGCCCCCAGGCCTTAGTTTGCCTACCCATGACCTAGTCCTAGATGGACCAATGGCCTGACTTGGTATTGTTCCCAGGATATTCCCCCCCCTCTCTCTTCAACAGATCCCTCTTCAATACAGTACAACAGGGGTTGCCAACCTTTCTGGGCCTGTGGCCCATTTGCAAAACCAGAGAGAGACTATTGTGTGTACAACACACATGCTGCAATCAAGCACACAACACAGCCTAGTCTATTGGCACTAACAGAATGCTTCTTCAAGCCTTATTTCAGTGGGAAGAGGGGGGCCTGTGTTAGGGAAATCACAAGAGCCCTGAGGACCAGAGAGCCCAGGGGTGAAGGCTGAAGGAAAAGGGAACATGTTCGCACTTGTATTAGATGCTTTTTCCTTTCTAAAATGGAAAAGCTTTCCTGGTATGGATAACTATTGCAGTGCTGCCCACATAAAATCACAGGCTTGTTCCCTGAGGTGCAGTCTTCGTTTCTGTTGAAACCGTAGGGAGCTTTCTTCCCTCAACAGCTCCCATAGCAATTACATTATTTACATTACAACAGCTGTTCAAGGATCCTACTGAGATTAACATCCACGTTCTCAGAAAGACGCCAAATGCCAAAATGCTTCTAGCCTAAGTACACAAGACAGATGGGATCTGGGGAAGGTGGGAGATGGAAGCACCTTCATATTATAGCAAGGGCTCTGAGGTAAAATAAATGGCGGCGGCAGTTCTTAGACACTGGAAGACTACTGTTATGACATGAGCCTGGAAATCAGTGACAGCCAGGACTCTGAGGAAGAAGGGGAAGGGCTGTAGTTCAGTCACAGCACGTCTGCTTGACCTACACAAGGTCCCAGGGTCAACTCGAAGCATGAACAGGTAGCACACCCTCCAAGTGTCCTTATTTTCCAGGGACAGTCCCAGATTTACAGAAGCTATCCTGGTTTCTGATTTGATCCTGGAATGTCCCGCTTTCCTTTGGGACGTCCCTATTTTCATTGGAGAAAAGTTGGAGGGTATGGAGTTATGCGAGTCCCAAGCCAAGGACATAAGTAACTATACAACCTTTAGAAGACATCTGAAGGCACCCCTGTATAGGGATGTTTTTTGTAATGTTTAATGTTTTATTATGTCTTTATGTATGTTGGAAGCCGCCCAGAGTGCCTGGGGCAACCCGGTCAGATGGGTGGGGTATTAATAATAATAATAATAATAATAATGGAATCGGACGTCCCTATTTTCATAAGAGAAATGTTGGAGGTTATGAGGTAGGTCTGGGAAAAGACTCATATCAGAACCCTTGGAGAACTGCTACCAGTCAACATAGATAATATTCACCTAGACGGACCAATGGCCTGATGGTATTGTTCCCAGGCTTCTCTCTCTCTCTCTCTCTCTCTCTCTCTCTCTCTCTCTGTGTGTGTGTGTGTGTGTGTACACAGCCTCCATCAGCTTTATTTAAGTGCCTCTGCTAACAGGCATTAGCCAGCTTCCCATGTTCCTAAGCATCACCTGGATCAGGAACACCACTGGTGCAAACTGTGGAGGTGCTCTAAATTCAGGACTAGGCCCCAGTGCCCAGCCAGAGTCTGTCAGTCAGGGGCCCTTGGACCAGGGGCCCCTGATCGAGAATCCCCAGAGACAGCACCCCTCAAACCGCATTCTGCTGAGGAACTACCCTTTCTGCTGACGTCGGTGCCTGCTCGCCAGTGTGACACTGGGCATGTACCCATTTAGCAATGCTTCCCCTCTCTTCTGGAGTTCTACAGAGCTACACTAGAGTTCAGAAGGAGCTGCATTTCATTTCAGGGAGTGTCACTGTTTGTTCTGGAAAAAGGCCTTCACCATTTTCCTTACTGACGCCCTGAGAACTTACATGGCACCAGGGCTGGCATCAACCAAGGTCTTGAGCCTTCTGCCATTGCTTGTGTTATGCACCAAATTTATTGATGATGATGATGATAACAATAATAATTTATTTATACCCCACCCATCTGGGTGGCTCCCAATAGAATATTAAAAACACATTAAAACATCAAACATTAAAAACTTCCCTAAATAGGGCTGCCTTCAGATGACCTCAAAAAGTCAGATAGTTGTTTATTTCCTTGACATCTGATGGGAGGGCGTTCCACAGGGTGGGCGCCTCTACTGAGAAGGCCCTCTGACTGGTTCCCTGTGACCTCACTTGTTGCAGTGAGGGAACCACCAGAAGGCCCTCAGAGCTGGACCTCAATGTCCAGGCTGAACGATGGGGATGGAGACACTCCTTCAGGTATACTGAGGACTTTTGAGGACCAATACCAGGTGCCATCCAGCTGTTGTTGGACTATAACTCCCATCAAACACAGCCACCCCGGCTGATGGTCAAGCATGATGGAAGTTATAGCAACAGCTGGAGGGTACCGTGTTGGGGAAGGCCTACCTCAATAACTCAGCTGCTGGTTCTCAGATACAAATTCATTCTCAAGACACCAGAATGCTTACCTCTTTGGTCTCATTCTGACTCCTCATGTTTTCTGCGATGAACTGGACACTGCTAATTACTTCTTTGACCTCAGGGGAGTATTCTGCTTGCTCAGCCCCCCATTTAGCCGACTGGTGGCTTGGTCTCCTTTTCTTACCCGTGGACGGTTCGCTGGGTTTGTCACAGTGGCAGCATCTGTGCTCGCTGTAGACTTTGGCTTCCCCTGGGTCATCGGCCTTTGGCTTGCTGGATTTAGCGGCACCATTTTTCTTGGTTTTCTTAGGCTGGGCTTCGATGTGTTTCTGGACGGGTCTCTTCATCATCAGGACTTTGGGCAGGAGACGGAGGAAAACGGTTTTCACCCACTTGGGCATTGTGTGAGTCATCGGAGTCCTGTAGTGGATGTTCAGTACAAAGACCGTGACGACGATAGAGAGAGTCACGAATATCATGGTGAACAGCAGGTATTCTCCTACCAGAGGGATTACCAGAGAGGTAGAGGGGATTGTCTCTGTGATTACCAACAGGAACACTGTCAAAGAAAGTAGAACAGAGATGCAAAGGGTCACTTTCTCTCCACAGTCCGATGGAAGGTAGAAAACCAGTACAGTCAGGAATGAAATGAATAGGCAGGGGATGATCAGATTAATGGTGTAGAACATGGGCAGCCTTCGGATATAAAACGAGTAGGTGATGTCGGTGTAGATCTCCTCACAGCAGTTGTACTTGATATCGTGTTTATAGCCAGAAGCATCAACTATTTCCCATTCATTATTCTCCCAAAGGTCATTCATATCCACTTTGGAGCCAATAATTAGAAGGTCAATTTTAGCTTTGTCGTAAGTCCACGACCCAAATTTCAGGGAGCAGTTTTGGTGATCGAAGGGGAAGAAGGTAATATCCATGGGGCAGGAGCTTTTAAAGATGGCAGGTGGTGTCCATGTGATGGTACCATCATATTTGAGAAGAGCTTTGGTCCGCCCTTCGACCATGAAATCTCCAACGGCACTGGAAATGCAAACACAAGGCAGCCTTAAGTTCTACCATGCAATATTAATACAGAAGGATATGGATTTGTTTTGATTTTTTTTTAAAAAAAGCTGTAAAATGATGAGGAACTAGAGTTCATACTTGTTGTATAACACAATATCAGGTTTCCATATTTTATCCGCTGGCACACGGATAAACTCAATCCCTTCGTATTCCATTGGATTCCACCGCAGTTTGTAGTCGTTCCAAATCTAAAAGAGAGAAAAAACTAGTTTTTGGATCCTAGAAAATTCACCCTGCAACTGCAGCTTGATTTTCAGGGCTTTTGTAGATATTCCTTCCTTCACCCAAAGCCTCTGTTTAGCAAGATTGGATTTTGGGAATGCTGGCTATGTTTGAGATTGGGTTTTGGGCATGCTGGCTATGTTTGAGATTGGATTTTGGGCATGCTGGCTATGTTCTACTTCCACTGTCTCTGAATGCCATTTGCTGGGAATCACAGGTGGGCCAAGTGCTGCTGCACTTAGGTCCTGCTTTTGGTGTCCCCACAGGCATCTGGTTGGCCACCATGAGAACAAGATGCTGGACTTGATGAGACAGTGGCCTGATCCAACAAGCTCTTCTTATGTTCTTCTGCTCAAACACCACTTGAACATGAATATCACTGTGTTGCCTTAGACAACAGTGTTAGACAACCAGGCAGAGGGCCTTCTCGGCAGTGGCGCCCACCCTGTGGAACGTGCACCCATCAGATGTCAAGGAAATAAACAACTATCTGACTTTTAGAAGACATCTGAAGGCAACCCTGTTTAGAGAAGTTTTTAATGTTTGAAGTTTTATCGTGTTTTTAATATTCTGTTGGGAGCCACCCAAAGTGGCTCGGGAAATTATATTATTATTGTTATGAAGATATAATAGAATAAGTTTATATATTTTTATTTAGTTTTATTATATTTTAATAATTTATATACCACTTTATACTATAGCATCTAAGCAGTATACAACAAGGATATACCATACATAATACAATCAGTTAAACTTAATAATAATAATAATAATTTATTATTAATATACCTCCCTTCATCATAAGAACTCAGGGTGGCTCACAGACTGTATTTCAAATTTTTGTAACTCATCCTGGGACCCTTGGGTGTAGGACGGGTAATAATCCAAAATAATAGTGATAATAATAAACACCACAGTAATCCATGAGTGGTTATACTATGGATGTTGTGACAGCAAGATCCCCCCTCACAACAGATTCCTGCTTCCTCACCCCAGGAACTGTTTTGGAGCCATCCCAACCATAACTTTGAAGCCCAGCACTATTGTGAAATACACCCTAGCACACAAATATCCACTTACATGTCGTAGCCATAGATTGGTTTCCATAATCTGATTGACTTCATCCTAGAGACAGAAGAGGGCAAATGATTTACTCCTACAGTTGTGTCATGGGGCTGCTTCACACAGTCCCTTAGGGTGCAGACGGGGTATGGGAGGCAATCTCAGAGGCTTCTATGGGCCCTCCTGACTCCAGGCAGACCAATAGCCCAGGAGATGTTAGACACATTTGTGGAGGGTAGGTCTATTATCAAGAAGAAGAAGAAGAAGAAGAAGAAGAAGAAGAAGAAGAAGAAGAAGAAGAAGAGTTTGGACTTGATATCCCACCTTTCACTCCCCTTAAGGAGTCTCAAAGTGGCTATCATTCTCCTTTCCCTTCTCCCCCACAACAAACACTCTGTGAGGTGAGTGAGGCTGAGAGACTTCAGAGAAGTGTGACTAGCCCAAGGTCACCCAGCAGCTGCATGTGGAGGAGCGGAGACGCGAACCCAGTTCACCAGATTACGAGTCCACCACCGCTCTTAACCACTACACCACCATTAGCCATGCCATTTTCAGAGGCAATGTATCTCTAAACTCTGGGTACCCACAAAGTTTGTCTGTTGCCTTCAGGTCACGCTTGGGAACTGGCAATGGTATCTGGCTAGTTGGATGCAGGATGCAGGACTAGGCAGACTTTTGGATTGATCCAGCAAGGCAGTTGTTATGCTCTTAACATGTATGATAACCTCCTCCTTTTCTATATCTGTCAAGATCCTGAGTCAGATGTAGGTCAGCGATAAAAAAGGTGGTGTCACTGAAGTTAACTATTCAAAGAAAACAAAGGCAGTGCAGGCCTACTGATTCCATCAACTCTTCCAAGTAGGTCTTGCCCACAATGAGGCAATTGCGAGGACTGAAGGTCCCTGCCTTCTCACAGCTGCCTCTTCAGGGTCTGTCCCCCCAGCAGTCATAGACTGCATATGCATGCAACCAATCTCTCCTCTGCTCTTTTAGGCTTGCCATACAGTGGTACCTCGGGTTACATACGCTTCAGGTTACAGACTCCGCTAACCCAGAAATAGTACCTCGGGTTAAGAACTTTGCTTCAGGATGAGAACAAAAATCGAGCAGCGGCAGAGCGGCGGCAGCAGGAGGCCCCATTAGCTAAAGTGGTGCTTCAGGTTAAGAACAGTTTCAGTTTAAGAACGGACCTCCGGAACGAATTAAGTACTTAACCCGAAGTACCACTTTATTTCAAAAAGTGAAAATCAATACACAAAAGTTGTTGAGCCTTTTTGGCAAAATTGCAAATAAACAAATAAATAAATAAATAATCACGTTTTTGAGCTATTTTTAAGGAAAATCAGCAAAAACAAAACTGCCAACATGGGTTGACATACGTCCAGATTTTCCCGGACATTTTCCCGATTTCCACTCGGACACTGCTTCCGACTGCGGTATTCTGGGTATGTCTGGGAAAATCTGGATGTATGGCAACCTTTCCTCTTTTTGTTTCCCTTGTGTGTTCTGGGAGACCAGGAGGTGGGAGGGGAACTGACCACAGCGGGAGGGGGAGATTCTCAGGACTCAGCAGCCGGCCTCACTTCTGTCTCCTGGCCCTCCTCCTTCTCTCCAGGATGATTTTAATGATTTCTATGCAATTCTACACACACCAAGCAAAACTAAGCCACCTAGAGTGGCTGGGGAAACCTAGCCAGATGGGCGGGGTATAAATGAAAAAATAAATCTATTACTAAGCTATATTAATTTAAACAAAATATATTTGGAATTCCCAAATCATGCTACAACTTTTTAGCACCCCTCATTTTTGAAAGTTGAAAAATTCAACTGATCCATTGCACACATGGAGCACTTCGTGAACCACAAAGATGGGAATGGAGAAAATTCTCAAGCACACTGAGCACTACACATCCAGGGTTTTCATCTACCGTATGTGCTGGAGCCCCTGGGTAAGGGTGAGTCTTCTATGACCAGGAGGTTTGGATTTCACAGCACCTAAATATCTGGCTGGCACTGCGCATTTAGCCTTACCACATTTGCAAGCTGTGTAATTGCCACTTCAAAATACACTGTAACTGGATCTGACACGTTTTCCACAGGTCTGATGTACTGGTTGTAACGGGAGAAGAGTTTGTGAAAGAGCCTTTCTTCAGATTTGCATGCCAAGCCATCTAGGGAAGAAAAGGAAATAGCAGAAGGAAGAAGTCACTGAACACAGGGCAAGAAAGTGGAATAATAATAATAAAAGATAAGCCTCCAGACATTTGAATATTCATTCATACCTTTTAAAGGTTTTAATCACATCACAATACCAACTGCTGCATGCTGAATTAATGCCTGATAAGCCACCAAATTATTCTGCAGCAGAGAGATTTGGTCCTGGCGAGCACCTGTCTCTCTCACACAAACACAACTGGATGCAACAGGGCTGGCCAAGGATCCATACGTGTGACAGTATCACGATCAATAACACTGGCAACACAATGGGCGTGGTTGGCTAAACTGTGGCCTGGGGCCAGGGCCGGATTTAGGTTTGATGAGGCCCTAAGCTATTGTGGGATACGGGTGGCACTGTGGGTTAAACCACAGAGCCTAGGGATTGCTGATCAGAAGGTCGGCGGTTTGAATCCCCGCAACGGGGTGAGCTCCCGTTGCTCGGTCCCTGCTCCTGCCAACCTAGCAGTTCGAAAGCATGTCAAAGTGTAAGTAGATAGATAGGTACCACTCTGGCAGGAAGGTAAACGGCGTTTCCATGCACTGCTCTGGTTCACCAAAAGCGGCTTAGTCATGCTGGCCACATGACCTGGAAGCTGTACGCCGGCTCCCTCGGCCAACAAAGCGAGATGAGCGCCGCAACCCCAGAGTTGGCCACTGGACCTAAGCTACTGAAGGTAATGGGGCCCTTTATATGTCCAGCTGTCCTTTGCCAACAACAAATTGTTGCTGTTTTTGTGTTGAATATATGCTATATAGTAATTTATGGACGTAATAGGTATCTAAAGCCATTTGCACATAACAAAATGTGTAATTGATATAGAAATGAGCAAACCAGTGATATTTTAGGGAGGAGGCTAGCAGGCGGGGCCCATTACTTACATCATAGGAGCCTACACAACACAAAACACTGTTGCTGTTTGTAGGTTTTATTTTATTTATTTTTTATCTTATATTTTGGGAATGTACATCCAGTTTTTTCCCTTTAAGTTTTTTGGGGGCTCCCAAGAGAGTGGGGCCCTAAGCTATAGCTTGTTTAGCTTATACGTAAATCCGGCACTGCCTGGGGTTCACACATGCCTATGGATTGCTCAAAAGTGGTATCATCCGATGATGTTGTATGTTGGGTGGTTTCGTTTGTTTGGAGAGATGGTGGGCAACCTGTCCTGGATAGGTTTGCACTCCTTCTCATGGATTGGTGTCAGTCTGGGAGCGCACATCGATCCAGCCTTATCCTAAAAGCCCTACATGCCTCAAGGCCTGTGTAACTGAAGGAGCACCTCCTTCACTTGCAAATGGGAGAGCCAACTGCTCTACTGGTACTGGCTCCTGTGCTTTTATCAGGAATATTATTTATTGACCGTTTGGGATGTGAAGGGAGAAATACAGGCTGCAGAGGAATTACTGGGCTAGCCTGTGCAAAATGACTTGGCCAAGCTAGGGCCATTAAGGAACAATACAGGGCTATTGAGAGCCATTGGCAATGCAAGAGAACTGCCCTTCCCCTTTGCCATGAAGTGTGAGCACAGACTGGGGGTTTGGAAGGTTGCCAAGGTAACTGGGTGTGAGGTGACAGCAAAAGAGAGTCTTGAGCAAGAGTTGTTGGGAAGAAGAAGAAGGAAGAAGGACTGGGATCCATCTTGGGCAGGCTGGCTGAAGGCCACAAGCCCCTCTTGAAATGACCATGCTGTACGATCCGGATTCCCTCCATGCAGACTGAAGGTGCAAATTGGCGAATAAACCATATTTCTTAAAGCTACGGCAGTCTCCGTCATGTTTCAGTTTTCCAAAGGACCACAGATCCTGGGCCTGGAACCTCATGGGCTCTTGCCACCGCTTGGCAGAGAGAGAGGGGGAGGCACCCAACTTTTGTAACATTATTTATTTGGGAAACACCCACCCCACCTTTCCATTTAGGAAACCCCCCCCCCAAAGGTAGCTATCATCATATTAGCAAGTGAGACTGTAACTTTATTCAGACATTATATGAATGCATGGAGAGGGAGAGTAAGGATGCTTGTATCTGGCCTCTGTGTAAGTCCTTAGAAGGTCTGAAAGTGCTTCCTCACCTATAACTGTATGCATTGAAGTTAGGTGCCCATATAATGCTGCCTCACTGCCCCTCAGCATGTTAATACCATATGTGAAAAGGGTTAATGCCTATCTCCATGCTGAGAAAAGTTTCACCTGCTGGTTTCTGTACATTATGGTACTTTGGAAGACACAGGAGCAGGCCAGACATTTTGGGGGTCAATTGGTAAGTACAGTCATACTTCGGGTTGCGAACGTGATCCGTGCGGGAGGCACGTTTGCAACCCACAGCATTTGCAGCCTGAAGCGCTGCGTCTGCACATGCGCGTGACGTGAGTCGGTGTTTCTGCACATGCGCGTGATGTGAGTCGGTGCTTCTGCACATGTGCGTGATGTGAGTTGGCGCTTCTGCGCATGCGCGTGATGTAATCTTGTGCTTCTGTGCATGCGCGAGTGCCGAAACCCAGAAGTAACCCGTTCTGGTACTTCTGGGTTCGGCACAGTCCGCAACCCGAAAACCCGCAACCCGCAGCGTTCGTAACCCGAGGTATGACTGTATAGTCTGGAGAAGAAGCTGCTCTTAAAGGTATATAACATTTTTTTGAGAGGGTGGGCCCAAAGCTGACAACTCAACTTCTTGAGTCTCAGCCTCTGTAGCAAAAAAAGAGAAAAAGTTTGGGAATTGCTGGCTAACAAGCATGAGCTATAAGTGGGTTTGCTGACATTTCAGTGTCGCTTTAAAAAAAACCAGTCTTGCTCCTAAGTTTTCAACAGCAGCCTGACTTGATCAAATTAAGCAGGCAAAGTCTTTTCCATTACCCATTTCATTGCCAGGTTCGCCAGGTTAATTTTTGTGCACAGCGCTGTTTTTGTTAAAGGCAGAGAAGCAAGATCAGGCCGCCCTAACTGTGAGAACGGCATTGATCTTCGTCTTAAATTCAGCCTCAAAAAGAGGGCCTTGCATGTTTTGGCAAGCATGACTCGACAACAGTTTGCGAAGAAACTGTCGCACTTTGGTATGAGAATCCGTCTGGTTTTTTTCTTGGTCCTTGTCCTTCCCTTTCTCTTGCCAGGTGGCCCCGATCCACAAAGTGCCATTTGCAGCCAGATGCTACGCAGCCTTGCTCAAAGGTAAGTTCTGCTGAGTTTAATAGGGTTTACTCTCAAGGAGGTATGCATAGGCTTGCACCTCTCTAGCAGCAGCTTAGTGGTTAGAACATCTGGTTTGTGTGTAGAAGGTCAGGGTTCAACCTCTAGCATCTTCCGGCAGTGTCCCCTGAGTGAAACCCTGGAGAACCAGTGCTGGCAATACTGAACTAAATGAACAAACGATTAGATTCCTATGTTCAGTCTGTGTGGAAGAAACAGAGGCCAAGAATCCCTCGCAAAACAAAACCACTTTGTCTTTTGAAATAGCCACTTGTGTTTGGTGTTTTGCGACAGAATCCCTGCCTAACCCTCACAGGGTTGTTGTGAAGATAAAAGAGTGTGTACCCCACGTTGAAGAAAAGATGGAGGTAGAAATGTAACAATAAATAACAAATAGACAAACTTATTTCCAGATAGATACATCTCCCCCACTTCAATTAAACTAGATTATAGAATATAGAAACCTCATATTTTGCATTCATAAACGCAGCTGCCTCTTTAACCAAGTATTTGGGTCACCTACCTTGCATTCCAAATAATAAAAAGCACGCATACAACAATCTTTTCTTTTGAGCTGGATTCAAAAGGATTAAATACCAGCATTATAAATGTCTAAAGAGAAATATAGGGCAGGCTGGGGGGTGAGGAGAGAGACACAAGATAAAAGCAACTTACCTTGAAGGAGGATGAATAACACGTTTGCCCACAGATAGAAAGTGAAATAAAGAAACCCCAAGCATTTCTGCGAAAGCATTGTCCGACGAGCACAGATGCTCTTTCTTCCAAGAGAGGAAAGAAAGAAAGAAGAAGATGATGGGGAGGTGAATAAGTCCCTCAGATCTTCAGTGCTGCAATAAGTAGTTCAGTTTAGAACCCCAAGCTGCAGCCATACACAGACGATGGTTTTAAATAAACGTGCCATCCTTTGAGAGAGGGAGGGAATCTTCCATAGAAGGAAGAGTTTTACTGCCTGCTCTTTAAGAGGAGACAACATTGACGGACATCAGGTGACTCCTCACATTTCACAAAAGTGTGTGTGTGATGTGTGAAAGAGAGAGAGAGAGAGAGAGAGAGAGAGAGAGAGAGAGAGAGAGAGAGGACTGCACAGCAGAGACTGGCTGCATAGTGCAGAAGGCAGTTCCCAAGTACGGCTCGGAGACTTGTGCAGTGCTGCAGTGTTGATCTGACTCAGGAATCTACCTTTTAAAACTCCCCGGTGTTTCATTTTGGCTGCGGAGATATGGTGGGCAGTGTGTGGCTCAAACCAGGTTGCCAGCTTTAGCGCTGGCTCAGTTTCTGTGCTGATGCAGATGTGGCAGGCAGAAATGGAAGCAAGGGTAGCTTTTCCCAAACAGGGAGATTGAGGGGATGGAGAAAAGCTACACCTGCTTCCATTTCTGCCTGTCACATTTCTGATTTCATTCTGCTTTGTGTATTTTATTTTTTGTAATGGCTTTGGCTATTTTGTCAAATATTTGTACAATTCCTACATCTGCTTAATATCTGCATACTGAGTGGCTGTTTTAAAAGCCATGTACCTAGCACCTTTGTGGGGGTCATCTATTTTTCATTTGTTATGCTGGTGCTGTTTTTATCATATTGTTAATATTTGGTCCAGTTCCCGCCAATAAGACCCTGGTCCAGTTCCCGCCAATAAGACCCTGGCTGGATGAGTTTCATGAGAGCTCAGCTGGTATAGTGGCTCAGAGCAGGAAGTCTCTCATTCAAAGGCCACTCCCATGACAAACTCAATGAATGGCTTTAGGCTGCATCTGTTTCCAGAAACTATGCATACAAATGAATGTGCATAGGTGGGGGGGGTTTGATGTTGTAGATGGTGATCCTCATGGTTCATCTCCGTAGGGAGGTCCACATTCCATATACAACCCATACACAAGTGGTACATTGTACAGTTATTCACATGTGACCTTCAATGAACATACTGTCTCTCAGACCCTCCAAGTGTCCCTATTTCCCAGATTTCCCAGTCCCAGATTTACAGCAGCTGTCTTGGTTTCCGATTTGATTCCGGAATGTCCCACTTTTCCCTAGTACATTCCGATTTCCATTGGAGAAATGTTGAAGGGTATGGAGTTATCTGACCCCCTAAGCTGTCTGAAGGTAACCCTGTATAGGGAAGGTTTTTTTTTTAATGTTTAATGTTTTATTATGTTTTTATATATGTTGGAAGCTAACTAGAGGCAACCCAGTAAGATCTGTGGGGTATAAATGGTAAAATTATCATTATGGAATGGGACATCCCTATTTTCATCAGAGAAATATTGGAGGGTATGGTCTCTGTGTACACCCTGTGTATAAATCAGCAGGTGTACACCTTTCCACAAAAGCACTTGTACATGTGCAGTAGAGACAGCTTGTGCCTGTGTTCAGTGTGGCATATGAACAAGCCCAGTGTCTGAAAAGAGAGTCTAGGCAGGAATGCACACAGGAATGCCTATGAATAGACAGGTGCCCGCTTGTAGCATTGTTTCAATAAAACTAACATGGAGAACATGGTGGGTGGGTGTAGGGGCAGAGCCCGCCACCACAACAGTGATGTCATCAGGGTAGGACTTTGGAGCAGGCACTTACTTAGCAGAATGAGTAGGCTTAGAGCCCACATGCCTCAAGGGTGGCTCACTACATTTCGATTTGCAAGTGGAGAAAAACATATTTCTATCTAAAGAGGTGGGGCGCTGTAAGACTATTAAAGGCCCCATCTACACCATACATTTACAGCAGTATCATACCACTTTAAATACAGTGGTACCTCAGGTTACATACGCTTCAGGTTACACACTCCGCTAACCCAGAAATAGTGCTTCAGGTTAAGAACTTTGCTTCAGAATGAGAACAGAAATCGTGCTCCTGTGGCGCGGCGGCAGCGGGAGGCCCCATTAGCTAAAGTGGTGCTTCAGGTTAAGAACAGTTTCAGGTTAAGAAAGGGCCTCGGGAACAAATTATGTACTTAACCTGAGGTACCACTGTAGTCATGATGTCTCCCACTGAATCCTGGGAAGTGTGGTTGGTTAAAGGTGCTGAGAATTGTTGGGAGTCCCCTGTTCCCCTCACAGAGCTACAATTCCCAGAGCCTAAGTCTGGAGTCTGGAATTACCTAACTATACCACTGCAATGTGGTATAATTAATTCCTACACAGACTCATGTCTGGTAAGGGCTTATGCTTCAGCCTCAGCCACAACATTGGCAATATCGAGGGTTGTAAACACTGGCCTACCTTGTGGAAGGGACACTTAAAACACAAGGTAGAAATGCTAGGTATGGCTATTACTGCAGTTGCAAAAACAACAACAACACGAGTCCTTGTGGATCAAATAGCTACAGCCCAGAACTTGCACCATCATCACAATTCATAAGACCACAGACCCAGTGTTTCCCCCCACTTATTGAGTCTCCAGGCACCAATTCATGATGTAAGAGCCCTTAGGAGGTTGCAGCCAGGAAGCAATCTAGCATTTGTGAGGACCAGCTCTATGCATGGTTGGCAAGGACATGGGTTCTATGGCAATCTCATGTGCGGAGGCTCTGCTTCTCAAAAGTGGCATCTCAGCATCAGTGTTGCACTAGAAGTATGCAAGAGCTATGGAAGGGGTAGCCAACATCTTGTTATACCTCCATCCGATGTTGTGGACTAGAATTCCCATCATGCCTAAAGACTGACTGGGTGGGGCTGTTGCAGTTTTAGTCCAAAATATCTGGAGGCCGCCCCGTTGGCTTTCCCTGGGCTATGTGCTCGTGGTCATGTAAGTAAGCATGCTGGAACCACATCTGGGTATCGTTCCTTTGGAGGCCTCATACATGGCGGCTCCACCTGGAGAGTGTGCATGAAGCTGCTGCAAGAAGAACAATGACAGCAACCTGGGGAAAAGGCCACTCATCAGGCTGCTCCCACAAGCTGATGTGTCGTATGCAGTAGATATATCAATGAAAACATATGATTGTTCCAAGCTCAGAAGAAAGCATCGCCTAATTTAACACAGTGAACAGCCACAACGCCTCCAGATGCAGCAGACTTCAACTCCTACCATCCTGGGTTTTTGGCCATACTGACAAGGACAGGGGCAGTAGTCATCTACACAACATCCAGAGGGCATCATATTGCTTGCCTCTGATTTAATATTGAGCATGACATTCAAGTCTTATTTTGTACCCCTGACCAGGTTATGTTTGGGGCAGATGCATACCCTCCAACATTTCTCTGATGAAAATAGGGGCATCCTATTCAGCAGCAGCAGGAACAACAACAACAATGATATTTATACCTTGGCCATCTGATTGGGTTGCCCCAGCCAATCTGGATGGCTTCCAGCATACAGTGGTACCTCGGGTTACATACGCTTCAGGTTATAGACTCCGCTAACCCAGAAATAGTACCTCGGGTTAAGAACTTTGCTTTAGGATGAGAACAGAAATCGTACTCCGGCGGCGCAGCAGCAGCAGTGGGAGGCCCCATTAGCTAAAGTGGTGTCTCAGGTTAAGAACAATTTCAGGTTAAGAACGGACCTCTGGAACGAATTAAGTTCTTAACCTGAGGTATCACTGTATATAAAAATACAATACAACATTAAACATTTGAAACCTTCCCTAAACAGGGCTGCCTCCAGATGTCTCAGGGGTTGAATAACTCCACACCCTCCAACATTTCTCAAATGAAAATAGGGACATCCTAAGGAAAAGCGGGACATTCTGGGATCCAATCAGAAACCGGGGCAGCTTCTGTAAATCCAGGGCTGTCCCTGGAAAACAGGGGTGCTTGGACGGTCTGCAGATATATCATTCTGCCCAAGGTGTCCTGCTACCGGGGGTGTAGATGCCACATGAATGTTCTTCCCCTTTAAGTTGCTGGACTGCTGTGATGGGGCGGCAGTTTGTGAGGAGCTGGCAGATTACACGGCTTTGCTAGGTAGTTTTAAAACAAGCCAGGAAATCTGTGCTAGCCCTGGAAAGCACACAGCTGTTACAGTCTTGCATGCACAATTATTATTACACTAATCCATAATCAGAGAGAGCGGAGCAGCGTTCTGCTGAGCATTATGTAAGTGCAGAGCAGCTGGGGCAATAACCTTTGATAGCTGAGGGCCAGGGGAAAACAAACAACAAACAGAGCTAACTCTATATGAATTAGGAAATGCAGAGCTCAGGTAATCTGAATGTCAGATGACCAGACATGCCAATGTAGATCTCTCGGGGGTGACACTGACAAGAACACCCACTGAAAAGTCACCAACATACCAGACGTCACAAATTGTCTGTGCACAGTATTCCGTGTTTGCTATTATGGATTTTCAGATTAGAATTCCCACACTTTCACCAAAGAGTTTAAGATGGCAGACAATATTACGAGGTAGGCTATTTTAGAAGCAGGGCTGTATTTGACTAAGTTGTGCCTACACAAGGATCAGTGCTATTGCAACTCATCTCCATCCTTTCCCTTAATTCCACCCCCTCATTAAATTCTTTCACACGTAACCACATAATAAAAATCCTATCACAGAAGCTGGTGTTTAGGCAACACATGCAAAATCACAAATGCATGATATAAGTTCTTATCCCAGACTACTTATTTTCATTTAAGGCAACAAATAGTTTAAGTTAACTAAAACATTTTATAATGTAAGGGGAGTGCTCTATTTTCATTTTTTAAAGCTGTACCATTCAATTACAAATAAGAATGTGTGCTTCAAACCTTGTGCCAGTTTTATTTTATTATTAATTTTTTCCACAAGTGCTCTTTG